ATTATAGTCCCGCCATTTTATTTGTTATAACCGCTCAATGATCACGTTTTGTACAAAATTCCCTGTGAACCGATCGTACGTTAGCATTAAGCACTGAAATTGGCGCCGTAACCTTGAAATCACTAAAACGCCTCTGACTGGCTCGTCCATAAATTAGAGTCTGGCCTGTATTTATGACAATTTTTGTATCACTTGTAATCGTTTATGGGTATCGGTCAAATGATTAATTAGTCCAATCTCTACCACTCAGTTTACCACTCATCTTAGCTTATGGTACAAGTCTCACTATCGAAGAGGCATAATAAGGACGTGTGATCTGGGTTTTACCTCCTATGTATGACATATTTATACAGATTATAAATGTAATTCATATTATCCTAGAAGTGATTACGTAATCATATATATACAAATATGTATTCTTACAGTTAAAATGATGCATCTAGATCATCCTGATATGGTTACAGAAGATTGTAAGTGTTACTTTTCTTGTTGTTTTGTTTTTCTTTCTTTCACTCTTTCTTTCTTTCTTTCTTTCTTTCCGAATTTAATCTTTCCTCATTTATGTTTTTTATCATTCAACTAACAAATTAGTCATTAAAAATATTTTTTTGGAGAGAAAAAAAGAGAAAAAAACGAAGAAAAAAACAAATTAAAAGTTATTTAATGAATTAAATTGAAAGAAAAAATAAAGAAAAAGAAAAGAAAAAAGAAAAAGAAAAAACCCAGTTGTGCATGTTCATCATTTACTTTTTAAAGTCATCTCCCTAGGTGTGTATGTGCGTGTGCGTAGTGTGTGTGCGTGTGTGTGCGTGTATGTGTTTGTTTGTTTGTCTTATATTTACTGTATAAATATATATATCCCCCTATAAATTTAAACGTATTTGTGAGATTGTCTTGTCTTACCAATTAATTAATTAGTTAATTAATTAGTTACATTTTTTAAATTGTCCCCCAGTCTATTTAGTTGTGTTCTTCTTTTTTTTTCAAATTCAATCTTCATTGTAACCATGGCTACATGAAATGTATTCCATTGAAAATAGATTGAATTATTCAATGGTTAATATATTTACATTGATTGCATGGAAATAGAAAGAAGATGAGAGAGAGAGAGAAAAAAAGAAAAAAAATTATTTTTTGTTTATTTTAATTTCTATGAAATGAAAACAAAAAATGATTGATGATTGTTCAATTAAATTCAATCCATTGTGTTTTGGATCTTCATTTCTTGTTCTATTCAATTGTTTACTAGAATAAGTCGCGCAATTTCGTGGATTGGTTGAGGTTAGACAATATCACCATTGGATGCCAGTCGGCTCAGTGGTTCAGTTGGTTAAGCGTTCACGCGCAAGACTGAAGGCCCTGTGTTCGAATCCCGCAGGCGGGATCGTGGACGCGTACTGCTGAGGAGTCCGACAATCGGACGAAACGGCTGTGTAGTGCTTCCAGGTTTCCAAAGGTGGTCTAACATCAATCGGTTCATGATCTTAATCAAAAAAATATTCAATTGTTGTTCATTGTTTTCCTGTTTGTTTCTATTTCTCGGTATAATGTGTTCTTCATTGGTCTTATTCTTGTTCTTTTGATTTTGAGGATTTCAAATGATGAGAGTTTATCTTATGACATAGTTGAGTACTTTATACTTAATGTATGTCCTATCCATTCATTAATGCTTCTTCTTGATTTGTTCTTCCTCTGTGATGTGGTTTGTTCTCTCTCATAGTAAGTTGTTGTTGTTGCTGATAGTATTTGGCCAATGAATCCGAAGTATTTTGCGTAGGCAACTGTTAATAAGCATCTGTATCTTCTGAATGATGACTTTAGTAGTTATTCAAGTTTCCGCTACTTAAAACAAATGACATGATTTAAGTCACTATAAGGTATTACTGTTCTTATACATATACAGGATATGAACGTTGTTACAATGAATAAAAACAGAGTACATCCATGATCTCGCACTGATGAGGAGTCCTATACTAGGACGAAAAGACCATCCAGTGCTTTCAAGTTTTTTATGATGATCTAGCTTTAGTTGACCCATGAACTTAACTATTACAATATTTGAATGCAATACATGTACAAAATGGAAATTCCAAATCTTTATAATCTGTAAAGATATTATTTGTATATAGATTCGAGAAAAAAAACAGTTCATAGAGTTTAATCAAGAATAGATGTTTTATTGAGGAGAGTTCGGTAAAATAGCCATGACGATTTATAAGGACATTCCCTGTCCTCTTGTCTCTATATGATACCGTGATATATCTTGATTTCTTGGGAGATCAAATAATTAAGATTTTCAGTTTAGGGGTTGTGGAGATTGTTAAGTTTTTTTTTAATTGAGATCATGAACCGATTGACGTTAAACCACCATTGAAAACCTGGAAGCACTGGACGGCCGTTTCGTCCTATTGTGGGACTCCTCAGCAGTGCACATCCACGATAATTATTTAGTTGTAAGCGTTAGGTTAATATATTGATTACAACAGTCTACAAGAGTTGTATTGTAATACATAAACAGTTTTTAACTAATGTCCAATAGTAGTATAGCGTTAATGACATATTGTATTCCATTGTATACATATAAGAATCCAGGGAGATGGTTATTATTATCATTTAAACACAAAAATATTGGTACAAGGAGGCACTAAATAGATATGCGCAACATACATCATTCAACCTGTGTGAGGGCTGGCATACTGCTCGGCTGCTGAAACCGCAACTGATGGTTTTCTTGAGGGGCAACACTCGGAGCCTTTGACCTATAGGTCTAATCAACAAGGCAGTGGAGCAATGTTAGCAGATATAGTCCTATGGTAGTTTGTAACGAATGATTGGTTCATATGCCATTTGTCCCTTCAGGATCCTGAATTCTATGTACACCATTGACTTGGAATCAGGGTTTTCCAATTCCCCTAGGTGGACCCTCCGTGTCCACTAACCCGGCTAAAGTGCTGAACATTCGCTTTTTGTCTTCTCAACTAATTAAACAACACCCTCGCCATCAGAAGGCAGTGATTAGGAGTTCCCTGGCAGTGGCTTAGAAGTAAAATCATAAGATTATGACATCTAATGATTTCTAAGTTACCAATGAGAATGTATATTGATTCAAATCATAAAGTAACTCTCACTAAATATTCCATAATACACGGAATTTAAGTTGTAAATTATGATTTCTTCACTTAGCATTTATGTATTAAATCCTATAACATGAAGGTAACTGTACATAACACTGTTGAATCATTTATATACTTAAAGTTATTTCAACAGTATTCAATTACGGATCAGTGTGACTGTTTCAAGGATTGGGTTTTTTTTAATGTGTCTTTTACATAACTCAGTATTCTGTTCATAATGATTATTATTATCATCAGTATGAGGTTGTAAAGCTTGCTGAGTTTTTGACTGAGATCATGAAACGATCAATGTTAGGCCACTAGTGAAAACTTGGAATCATTGGACATCCGTTTCTTCATAGTATGTGTCTCCTCTCATACTGTTCACTAGTGACTAACTCTAAGAAGTAATTATCAGAGTTATAGTGAGAAGCCGTGAGCAATAGAGTGCAATCTGTTTCGGGTATGAGACAATTATCTACCTCAAACAATAGATGAAGGGTTGTGCAAGATCATAGATCAATTGAAGTTAATTATTAACACAGTGATCAAGCATTCACACGAGGGATTAAAAGTCCTATGTTTGAATCCCTTTGGTATAGAATCGTAAATGTGCACTATTGAGGAGTCTCATACTAAAACGAGACAGTTATCCAGTACTTCCAGATTGTCAATTCTATTCTAACATTGATCAATTCATAATCTTAATCAAGAATATTTACTTTCAGAAGGGGTTTTGTGGAGATTTTAGAAATTTCACTGGTTGAAATCATGAGTCAATTGAAGCTAGACCACCATGGAAAACCTAGAAGCACTGGATGAACGTTTCGTCAAAGTATGGGACTGCTCAGCAGTGTCCATTCACGATCCCGCAACCCGCGAGATTCGAACACAAGACCTATCAGTCTCGCGCCAGGCGCTTAACCAACCAGACCACGTAGCCGGCATCCAACGGTGTTAATGTACAACTTCAACCAATCCTCACGGGATGCGGGATCATGAATGCGCACTGCTGAGGAATCCCATAATAGGACGAAACGGCTGTCCAGTGCTTCTAGGTTTACCATGGTGGTCTAGCTTCAATTGACTCATGATTTCAACTTTATCTTGAATTTTTCACTGAACCTATAACTTTAAGCTCAGTATTATTCATTCATTCCATTTCTATGAATATTGAGACTCATTAATTATCTTATGCACGGCAATTAAAAAGAAAAGAAAATGGTAAACATTACTGAACGATTATTGAATTTTGCACGATCATTAATCATGAATATTTCTTGAATGAACAGTTTATTATCTTCCCCCCCCTCTCTCTCTCCCTCCCTGCCTTCCTCCTCCCACGCTCCTCTTCACTTATCATCTTAGTGACATGTTTGTTCCTCCCCTCTTTTTTTACATTTATATGTATGTGTACGTGTATGTATGTATTTGTGTGTATTATTCATTGAATTGTATCTAACCTAATTCTTACGTAAACTCTTCTAATGATTAACCAAATGGTTAGTTTTTATTTTTGACGAGAACCTAATTGTAATTGTTTTGTGTAGAATTGTGTATATACATATATGTATATTGGCTTAGTAACAACATGTTGAATTAACAAAACTACTGACGATTATACTTAGAATTAGTACGATTCCTTTTTTTCTTTAACTTAATACCACCTCTTTTTGCCTTCTTTTTTTTGTGTTTTTCTTTGTTTCATTGCTTCCTATCTGTTCGTTTCTTCATGAAACTGGAAATCTGACGTCTCTATTTTGGCTTTCCCAAATTCAATCTATTGAATACAATATTATTGGTTATTGACTTTGTGTTATTGTCTGAACCACACACACACACACACACATGTACACACATACACACAAACCCAAACGATTTAATTAGATGAAGAACAAACAAAATCAATTCAATTGGATCGTCCAGCTAGAGAACTATTAATTTGGTCTATATTAGTTGGTAAACTACGTATGGCTGAATTATTTTGGACGATGGAAAAAGTAATAAGAATCATATTTACTTTATTATTATTATTATTGTTTAATTAGATTATATTTAATCTAGTATGCAAGTTGGTACCGAGTACTAGAAGGAATCTTAGTAGCTAACCTGGGTGGTTGATGGAGATCGAATTAATCTTCTATTCTCTTATAAACTGGATTACTTAGGGTTTCCAAATTCATAGGTCACAATTCTTGTGGACTGTTCAGTGTGTATACTTAAGTATGAGTCTCGGATTGTGTAATTGTATACTTAGTTATATGCAAAGTGTACGCACTAGACTCTGTCTTATGTCCAACCAAATCAATGGTCTAGTCCAACGGGTTGAAGAAAAATAAAAAGATATAGAGAGGTGACCATCAACCTTTCCCGACAGTGTTTATACTTATGCATATGTTATGAAGTGCATGGACGAAAGTCATTGTACCAGTGGTATGGATGCAATACATAAGAGATAGCCAGTTGTAGCAAATACATGTAAGGAAATGGTGATTATCTACATTTCCAAGTAGGTGAATGTATCTATATGTATTATGTAGGATTCATTACGTTACCAATGTGCACGTGTCATATATTTATCCCTCATGAGGAACCCGCACGTCAAAACCCCGGGGCTCTAATTCATCCACGAAATCGTGTATGCGTGGTGTGTTCGTGGGCCTTGAAACACGGAGACCACTTGGAGAATAGATAAACTGACTTTACCAGGTGATTTCCAGTATCATTTTTAACGCATATACCTACGGAAATGTTATTAAAGACAGTTTACATCAAGGTTATGTTCTAAATTATTTCGAGTTTTTCCTAATATTTATGGGAAACATCAGTTTAGGGGTTGTGTAGATTGTTAAGTTTTTTTCTGATTGAGATCATGAACCGATTGATGTTAGACCACCATTGAAAACCTAGAAGCACTGGACGACCAGTTCGTCCTATTGTGGGACTCCTCAACAGTGCGCATCCACGATCCTGCGCCGGAGGGATTTGAACCCAGGACCTTCAGTCTCGCGCGCTAACGCATAACCTACCGGACCACTGAGCTGACGTCCAATGGTGTTAATTTCTAACCTCAAGCTGCGCGACCATCTTCCATTGTACTGAGGTAGACACCTGTTAACGCTTAAAGTGAATGGCTCATCGTACTAAACGCATCTTTAAAACTGTTGTCGTCAGCCTTACTTGAACCTGTGAGATGCATTTATCAAATGTGAAAGCTGTCTGTTCTTTCCTAATTGTAATTAGTTAAAACAAACCAACTATTGGACATAAGAGTAAGGAGTAACTCAATACACCTCCTTACTCATTACAAGTTTCTTAAATTGACCTCTGACCATGATGTAAAGCTCAACATGGAAACATCCGTGTTGTTCGCTTGTCACATAAGTTTTCGATTACTGTTTTAATAGCTTTAGTTCACATGGTAGGTTATTGAATCGCCTTTTAATAAATACGACTAAATGGAGGAATTTTTGAAGATTGTAGTATTTTCACAGCTGAATTCCCTCGTGTAAGATCATGGACGTGCACTTCTGAGGAGTCCCATACTAGGACGAAACGTTCGTCAATGGCTTGCAGGTTTTCAATGAAAGTCTAGCCTAGATCAACTGATGAATTCATCTGTAAAAATACGACTCAGTTTAACTTATACAAACTGTGACTCTTAATTAAATTGGAAATAAATCGTATAAACAATAGTACATTCTCATGAATCATTTTGATTTAATTTGAGAGACAAACAAATCCTTGATTTTGCACTTCACTTCAAATTGTCGTGTGAATGTAGTCTGGGTTTATTAGAACTATCTAGGAAATGGAATTAAGGATTCAATTAGCAGAATAATCAATTTTTTGAATGGTTTGGATGAATAGTGATTCAATGGTTTGAAGGCTAAGCACCGGACACAAGATAGAAGTTGATAGATCCCTTAGCGCTTGTTCGTTTATAAACTTTCTTGAATAATGAATGTTTTTCGTTGTGAAGCTAAATGAATATACTTTGTATGCTTCAAATTATCGGGGTTGTTCGCGGGCGAGACCGAAGTTCCTGAGTTCGGTTCCCGCTTGCAGGGTCATGGATACACACTTATAAGGAATCCTATACAAGTACTATGAGGTTTCTAACGGTAATCTGGCATTATTCAGTTCATGATTTCAATGAGATTTAACTATCTCCACAACCTTATACTGTTAATATAATCTATTATTTGTATTTATTTTCCAGGAACCTATCGCAGCTGCTCTATTAGCTTCAATTCTATTGACATCTTTAGGGAATAAAACAGATGATTTTACTGATAAAGAAGACTATAGAAGCTTTGCAAAGTAAGTATGTTGTCTTGTATTATAAAATAGATTGTTTGGTGAGACTATAAGTTATGGACGACCTTTGAGTGACGCCAAACTGACCTCGAGAGTGTCCATTTAATAACCAGAACAAAATGAAGGTTATAAACCTGTGTGAGGAATTAGAATTATGATTTACAGTTGATGGTTAGGGGTTAGGAATTAGATTTAGAGTTTTCATTATGAACAGACATCAGATATAATACCAAAACTCTATTTAACCAAATGGATGAGTGAATTTCGCTCCGAAATCCGAGACCTATTATCTGATATCAGATTGGTCCGTCCATAAGTTGCAATCTCGCCGATTATAGCAACTATCCTACAACCGATTTCGATGATGGTTACATTTTCGTTAAGCCCTTTTATTAACTTACTTAACAGACAATGTTATTTGAACAGTAACAATTCGCATATTTCTTTGCACCGTTATGATCAACTAGAGCACATGACACAGACTCTAGCTAAAATGTTGATTGCTTAAATATCACTCGACCATTCATCCACCTCCCCCCATGTATATATGTAATCAAAACCTATCATTAGCCTTTGCTTTGCTTATGGATTTGCTTATTCGCCTCTCCGCTTCAAATTCACTCGATGTGCTTATAACTTTGTGATTTGTGCTATCCGCTAATCAACTGTAGTTGCCGCTTTTCTTTACCTTCTGATTTTAAACATCGTTGAGATTTATATTATAACAGTTATGAAGGTGATCGGTTATCGAAGGAGAACCACTATAAGTTTATGTTAATTCAAATAGTTACGTTGTACTGAATCTTACAATTTGTATTTTTACCGTATTCTATTGTCATATATCCATTCCAATTTGATCATAATGATTGTTAATGGCTTAATTCAGTATTAAAGTTTTTGGTACAACATAGAATTCACTGAACAAAGTATTTCAACAAGTTCCCTTTACTTAATTCTTGATGGATCCTGATGATAAATACTGAGTGACCATAAGTTCCATGTTAGCGTCTTTTTAGCGAGTTAGTTTTCTACGAGATGGGGATGCTAACCCTATGCCCAACCCTCCTCCTTTATCCGGGCTTGGGACCGGCAGTAGCCCCCGGAGGGACTCAGCAACAAATGCAGGAGAAGACGACCAGTCTGGCAGCAGCCTCAGGAGCAGTAGGTCTCAATATACACAAAGGGAAAAGCAAGATTCTCCAATGCAACACAGAATGCACCAATCCAATCACAATTGACGGGGAAGATTTGGAAGATGTAAAAACCTTTACATATTTGGGCAGCATCAATGATGAACAGGGTGGATCTGATGCAGATGTGAAGGCGCGGATCGGCAAAGCAAGAGCAGCATATTTACAACTGAGGAACATCTGGAACTCAAAGCAACTGTCAACCAACACCAAGGTCAGGATTTTCAATACAAATGTCAAGACAGTTCTACTGTATGGGGCAGAAACCTGGAGAACTACAAAAGCCATCATCCAGAAAATACAGGTGTTTATTAACAATTGTCTACGCAAAATACTTCAGATCCATTGGCCGGACACTATTAGCAACAACGTACTGTGGGAGAGAACAAACCAGATTCCAGTGGAGGAAGAAATCAGGAAGAAGCGCTGGAAGTGGATAGGACACACATTGAGGAAAGCACCCAACTGTGTCACAAGACAAGCCCTCACATGGAATCCTGAAGGTCAAAGGAAAAGAGGAAGACCAAAGAAGAACACATTACGCCGGGAAATGGAAATAGACATGAGAAAAATGAACAACACTTGGATGGAACTAGAAGGGAAGGCCCAGGACAGAGTGGGTTGGAGAATGCTGGTCGGCGGCCTATGCTCCATTAGGAGTAACAGGCGTAAGTAAGTAAGTAGATAATAAGTTCCATGTTAGCAATTCATGAATTCATATCTGAATAGTGTTCCTTGTTTACAATGCACGATAACTGTACTTTATTGTAAGTTGTACTGAGAAAGGTCATAAGGTTTTGATAAACGCACTTGAATAGGATATACGATTAATAGACAATAATGATGTGTTGAAACAAACAAACAAACAAAACAAAAACAGATAACTTGTTGAAATATGAAGATAACGACCGGAATAGGTAGGTAACCATCAATGGATGGTTGTTACATTCTAGTATAGGACTATTCATCAGAGCGCAATCATCATCATAGGGAATCGAACTGAAAAGATTAGGTCTCAACATTAAATGTTTAACCTCTAATCTATTAAACTAAGATCCAACGATGTTTTAATGTCTAACTGTTTATGGTATCAAGTAATATACAAAAGTCAGTAAGAAAAAATTCATAAATTTTTGAATAAAGAATTATCTGAATAAAATAAACTTTATGTCAGTAACATCCTGATCAGGATGACTAAGATTATAAACGATTGACTTAATGAAATATTCAGTCCTTCCAGGTTTTCCATGATGATCTAGATTCAATTGACTCATGATATCAACTATTGAAATGACTATAATATCCGCAAAAAATTCCTTCTGATATCAATCAACGTATGCTCAATAATGACTGGTTTCAAGAAGTATTTCCTGGAGTTCTAGTGAGAATCAGTGACCAATGGGGTTCAATTGGGTCTGTTGTGAGATAATAATTCACTGAAAGCAATGGTAGATGGTCTCGCTCAATTTCGTAAATTAGTTGAAGTTAAACATTAACACCGTTGGATTCCGTCAATTTCAGTAGTTTAGAGATTAGTCGTTGGCGCGCGAGACCGATAGATCCTGAGTTGGAATGTCATGCGGTGGAATCTCGGATGAGCACTTTTGAGGATTCTAGTGTTTCCAGGTTTCCCATGATGATCTAGCTTCAAGTGACTCGTGATATCAACTATTGAAAATACTACCATATCCACAAAATATCCCTTCAAATATTCAATAATCAACACCTAATGATATATGCAATTTGGTTAGTGTGAATAAGGAGAATTTATGCAGATTGTATTAGTGATCTAGTGATTAAAAATTTGGACACAAGACCGAAGGTCCTATGTTCAGACCCCTATAGTGCACTTCGCTGAAGAGTCCCATACTAAAACGAAACAACTGTCCTATGCTTCCAAGTCTTCAATGGTAATCTAACTTAGATTAACTCATGAATTGAACTTTAGTAATCATCTCCTCCTCCCCCCCTTTACTATTCTTTTTCTTTTCTTTCCTCATAGAAACTTTCAAGAACGTGCTGAAGGTGTCTTGAATGAATGTTATCGTGAAGATGAACATAGAACACAATTAATTATTAATCATGAATTAATTTATTATGGTCGTAGTTCAGTAATTAAATTAGCTGCTGAAGGTCAAAGTATAAAATTTATGGCACATCCATGTTGTCAAGATTTTCTTACAAATACATGGAGTGGTAATTTATCAACTAAGAATAGTGTATTTAGGGTAATTATAGATTTTGTAATATAAAATCAATATTATTGATTAAGATTTATAGTTATCAACTTATAGTTCGTCAAGATCGAGATTGATAGTATTCCATTTCTACTTTGAAGTTTATGCTGATGATATTGTTCAGAAGAACAATGAAAGCTTCATTATCAAACCATTTAGCTCAATCAGTGAAACACTATAAAAAAGTACCGATCTGAGCTGTAGATCTTCAACATTTGAAAAGTTGAGGAGTCGTACAATGGGACGAAACAGCCATCCAATACTTCCATGTTTTCCATAGTGATCTAGCTTCAATTGACTCATGATTTCAACTATTAAATTTGAAAAGTGATTTAGCCAAAAGAGTTTTTTTTTTCAAGAATACTATAACAGTTTATGAAAATCAAGTGTTAAAGCCAATGGAAGGATGATAACTTGAATGTGTCACTTTTTGCACACAGAGTTTGTATTTGGGAGGTTAGATCCCCAGAACTCACTTGGAAAAAGAACCTAATTTTGAAATTTTATTTAAAAAATTTGAATTTCTTTGTTCTCGCGCCAAAGGCGCTCTTGTCACCTTCATGTCGTATTTCTCCCTGAGAAATATCTTAAATGCTATTGGTCCGTTGTGTCTTTTAGTATGTTATTTGGTAACTCTCCCTAAGGACGGTTTTGTACTATATATATACGTTTTGAATTTTGTTTGTTGTTATCACTCGTTTCTGGCTGTTTGCAGAACATACTTCCCCATTCCAAGCATGGACTTCTCAATCTAGTTAGCGGGGCTGGGACACATTAATAGCTAGCTTACTTGTCTTTAGTCACCGAGTCTTGTTTCTCGTTCGTAGATTAAATGAACTCGTGATAGCTTCAACCCTAGCAGTTTGAAAAGATAGTTTGTGTTCCTGACGAATCAAATAATTTGACTATGTAGATGATTTTAAAAGATTCATCAGATGAGGTCGTGTAATCAGAGTTCACAGCACGTTCTAACATTGAACATTTATCCTTCGAAATTCATTTATGATAATGTTCAAAGATGTTTGCAGAGTTCTCACCTTTTGCAGTCTATGTAACTGCATCACAGGAGTAAGTGGGCATATTGATGAGGACCAATGAGTGGGTTGGTACTACACACATTCACGAATGATAAGGTCGCTGGAAACGACGATGAGAAGCTTTTGATCGTAAAAAGCCTTTCTTAAGGAATTCGTTAGATCATTCTCGAAATTCCTCCAGAAGTATCTCACTTGAGCTGAATATTCACAAAGAAAGTTTTCATATGAAACGTATGAAGTCTTGTAGATTGTGATTCAGGTCTAATGTCTCACTCAGTGAGCCTAGTATAATAGCCAATTTTTGGAATTATCATTCTGAGGTCAAATAGTTCATTGTCTGTTGTGTCTTCGAAGTACATTCACCCAAACCTTGACGATAAAGGTTTAATTGAGTTTATCTTTCCTTCGGTTCCCTTTGAATATATTCTTTCAAAATTGAACGTTCATAAGGAGAGTTTTCTTGGTTGTTGTGTTTTTCATGTTGATGTTTTGGGCTTCTGGATCATAAGGGAAAAAATGACTTATGAAGCAATTGTTGGTAACCGGATACCATGGGACTACATTGTTTGTATATGTTCCTTCAGTTATCCTTCACTTTCTTCATGATTCTTTCAATTCTGTTGTTATAAAAATTACATTCTGCTTTCTTTCCTGTTCTTTTCAATTCAAACGATTCAGTCTTCTGCTGACGGGCATTCCATATCCGATTAATGCTAGTTGCTACTTATAACGGTCAACATAAGTAGTATATACTACAATAAGAGTGTTTGTTACTGTTAGCGTTATTGTCTTCCTAAAACATTAGTACTTTGATGAAATTACATTGTTGTTAAACTTCAACCTAATTATTATGAATTTATTTTTTTGTTGAAAAACAGGTATGTTACTAATTACGATAATCAGTAGTTTCATTTACATTAATTGAATTAGCTTCTTTTTATTTGTTTTTCTTAATATTTAGTATATTATGGGGGTTGTTTGTGGATTGACATTACCATTTTTAATACCAAAAGTTATATTATCCAAGCCTAAAACAATTCCAACCACAGAAGGAGAAGTAAGATATATCTTTTCTATCTTTTAACTTGTTGAATGTTTTAGTGTAAAAATATTGTACGAATGTCTAATTTGAACGAAAAGTCAGCTAACAGTATAAGGTTGTGGAGATTGTTGAGTTTTAAGTGAGATCATAAACTGATCAATGTTAGACTACCATTTAAACCCTGAAAATACTGGGCTCAGTGGTTTAGAGGTTATGTGTTCGAGCGCGAGGCTGAAAGTCCTCGGTTCGAGTCTCACGTAGGGTATCATGAATTTGTACTGCTAAAGAGTTTTATAACAGGACGAAAAGGCTATCCAGTGCTTCCAGGTTTTTAATAATGGCCTAGCTTAGATCGATTCGTGAATCCAACTATGAAATTACTACATTCTCTACAAATCCTCCTACAAATAATGAATAGTTAATCAATGACGTTGATGCTACTATCAAATATTTAAAAGTAGTTCCGATCATAGGATGTTATATTTACGCATGATTGTAACTTCATGTCCGGCTTTTTATCATGTGATTTATTCACCAATCAAAATACGACTTATACAATCTTAGCACAGTGCCAAACCAATGATGTTCGACCGGTATGAGCAACCTAGCGTCATTATTGGTCCTATGTCCGCCTAGCTCGTCCACTTGAGTCCAGAACACCGATACCAGCTTCCACTATGCGAATCATATATTTCAAACATAATGGTTTATATATCAAACAAACAGACCATCGTTGAAAACCTGGAAGCTATGTGCGGCTATTTGGTCCTCTTGAGGGATTCCTCAGCAATGCAAATCCGCGTATCAATTCAGCCACTCGAAATGGGTTTTCTCAGAGTTTCCCAATTATTATTACTAGTGTAGTGAACGAGCACACAGGGTAGGGGGATACAACCAAATGTATTTAAACACAAAATTACAGAATCTCTTAGTAAATTCTGAGAACTATACAGAAAATTATCTCAGACTTGATTATGCCTCCCTTTTCATATCAATCATTATCTGTTCTCGTTCTTTTTTCTTTGATCTTCTCAACATTCTACCTGCAGACATTTCGCTTTCAATTGATGATACATACTACTTATCGCTTTAGGTGTTGAAATTGACATTATATCTCTAGTTAATTTCCTTTTTATTTTGTTCCCATGAGACTTATTCATGTGTATACAATATATGACAGTATTTCTGTTTATTTTGTTAATGTTAGGAATCAAGTCCTACTTCGGAACAACAAGGATCTACACAAAATAATCATACTTTAAAATATGTTTTAACTGCAGAAGATGCTGGTAAAAAAGGGTAAGTCTTTTGTTTATTTGACTTTTAACTCACTTATGCCTAATCTAAGCATATTGAGTAATTGACATAGAATTTTGAGGTATGATATTATAATTTAGGTAATGTACAATCATAATCGTCTTGAAGTGGATATTTGTCAATCTGATATTAATAGGGTTGTGGAAATTGTTGAATTATAATTGATATCATTAACCGATCAGTGTTACCCACTATTGAGAACTGGAAAGCACTGGATGACCATTTTGTCTCATTATGGGACTTCTCAGAAGTACGCATCTACGACCCCACACCGGAAAAATTCCAACCAAAGACCTTCGTTCTCATGTACGGATGTTTCACTTCTAGACCAATGAGCCGGTCAATGTCCAATGATGTTAATGTCGTACTTCAATGAATTCACGATATTGAACGACCATCTTCTATTGTCTTCGGTGTGTAAATACCTCCATTGATCATTATATCATTTTTTCTTCTTTACACTACACTAAATCGACTCTTTTAAAGTAAAAATCCTGATTTTATTATATTTCAGTGTTCGGAAAACATTACAAGCTAGAACCGTGGAATATATTTCACAAATTCGTGACTTTTATATGGCACCAGTTGTTCGTTTTGTGTATAATACTGTAAGTTAACAACTTTCTTTGTTTTCGGTAATACTCATACTATAAACCATAATTATCACTCCTCACAAAGTTTATAACCTTCATTTAGTCTTAGTTACTAGGTGGACACTCTCAAGGTCACTTATACAGTCACTATCAGAGAAGTCCTACTCATTTCATTCTCGCGGCAGGGGTGTTGTTTACGAAATTGAGAAGACGAAAAGCGAATGTTCAGCGCTTTAATCAGGTTTATGGACATGGAGAGTTCACCTAGGGGAGGTGAAAAACCCTGATGCCAAACCGATAGTGGATGTGAGCTCCAGGATTCTGAGGGACCAGATGAATTATGAACCAATTGTTTATCACCGGCTACCATGAAACTGCATTTCCTAACGTTGCTCCACTGCCTTGTGGATCAGACCTTCAGATAAGATAGATAGGCAGATATGAATTTAACCATGGGATGTAAAACGATATCTGAAATATTCTTTCATAATATACATCATGGACTGGTTTGATTGAAGACCACAAAGTACTGAACATCTATCTATCCATGACAATGACTGAATACATAACCCTCAGATATGATAACAACCATTTAACAATTAGCCATCTAAACTAGGATACATTGGATTATATTTCACTTATCTTATCTTTCAATCGATTTGATGAATCATCACCTCATATCTGACTTTAGTTATACCCTACTGGTCATGAATTCTCACTTTAATTATAGGAATACCCTTTCAAAATTAACTCAATCTGCCTATTGATCATAGTTTTAATACATAGATGATCATTTTTACATTGATAATCACTAAAGAATATACGGCGAGACCCTAACTACTTATGAACGACCTTTGAACGAATCTTAAGTGGCATTGAGAAACATTAGCCAATCAGCAAACAGTCAATATAGAGTAAAAATATGTTATACAAAACAAAAGAAATAAAGTGGATACACTTCTTAGACGTGGTTCAAAAACTTGTCAGGGTTAGAAGGAGGTTCAGAGGTTCTAAAATTGTAATGCATGAAGTAGAGCAAATCGTCCATACGGCTACAGAATAGTCGGCCTCTGGAGTCATGATAAAGTCTCAAAAACTCTTTCAGCATCCACCACATAGCTTCAATATTGTTTATGTGCACTCCGATTGTTAAGTGCACAAAATGGTACTCGTGGATAACGACACGATGCACATAACCAAGCCTATATAGGAGTGTGTACGCTCTCCAATCATCCGTATATATTGTAGTACCTGGCTGCAGCCGGTGTTACTGGTGCTTTTATTATCCAGTTCGCAATATTTGTCATAATTTGCTTTAGTAAGGAATTATATATGAGGTTTTCATCACGAACTGACATCAGCTATAATGCCAGAAATCTATTTAGCCAAATGGATGAAAGACTTTCGCTTTAAAATCTGAGATCTATTATCTTATACTTGATTGATTCATCAACAAATTATAGTCCCGCCATTTTATTTGTTATAACCGCTCAATGATCACGTTTTGTACAAAATTCCCTGTGAACTGATCGTACGTTAACACTAAGCACTGAAATTGGCGCCGTAACCTTGAAATCACTAAAACGCCTCTGATTGCCTCGTCCATAAATTAGAGTCTCTCCTTGTTTTCTTTTCTTTTTTCTTTTTTTCTTTATAGATTTCATACATCACATTTCTCATCTTATTCAGTTATTTATTATTAGTTGATTTTCGAATCAATATCACAGTTGTTGAATATGTTGTTATTGCTTGGGTAATTACATTATTTATAGAAGAAATTAAACAGGTAATCAAATGTATTACATTTCCTTTTAAATTGATGAGTTGATCTAAGTTAGACAAAGAAGTATTGAATAGGATATTTCGTCCTCGTATTATAGAACTTCTTCACAGTATGATTCCATGATCATACATGCGCGAGTCGAGTCGTGAATGTGATTGTGGAAATACTACTACCAAGGATGTAGATGGATTTAAGAGACTATGCAAAACTATTGCATGTATATATATATATATATATATATATATATATATATATATATATATATATATTAGAAGGGGTTTTGTGGAGATTTTAGGAATTTCACCGATTGGAATCATGAGTCAATTGAAGCTAGACCACCATGGAAAACCTAGAAGCACTGAATGGCCGTTTAGTCCTAGTATAGGACTCTTCAGTGGTCTAGTTGGTTAAGCTCCTGGCGCGAGACTGATAGGTTCTGGGTTTCGAATCTCTCGGGGTGCAGGATCGTGTATGTGCACTGTTGAGAAGTCTCATAATAGAATGAAATGGTCATCAAGTGTTTCTAGGTTTTCTATAATGATCTAGATTCAATTGACTCATGATCTCAACTATTGAAATGACTATATTATCCTCAAAATCTCTTCTGATATTAATCAACATGTGCTCACTAGTAACTGGCTTCAAGAAGTATATCCTGGAGTTCTAGTAAAAAAACAGTGACCAGTGGAGTTCAAGTAGGATATTATGAATATTTATACCACCAAAGCAGAGAATGATCAATAGCTATTACCCTTAGAACATCTAAATCAGATAGTTGATCAAACTAGGTTCATTACAAGTTGTATTAAACATAACTGATGGAATTAAGAAACACTAGTCACAATACGTATGTACACTTCTATATTGATTTAGTTGAGTTTATTTTTAGCATTAAATTGTAGAAATCGTCGAGTTTGATCGAAATTATGAATCGATATCCATATGAGATCAGTGTTGAAAACCTGAAAACATTTGATAGATGTTTTATAGTTATATATATAAGACTACATAGCAGTGCACATCCATGATTTCACAAGCGAGACTTTGAACTCTAGGCCTTTCGACCTCACACGTGAATGATTCGCCTTCAAACTTACTGGATCGGAATCCAACTATATTCATGTCTAACGTTAACCAATCTACGATATTGTGCAATCATCTTTTTTTAAATAGTTGAATTCAAGAGTCAATTGAGGCTAGATCATCATGGAAAACCTGGAAACACTATATTTCTAAACAGTGCTCATCCAAGATTCCGCCACGTGACATTCCAAATCAGAATCTATCGGTCTTGTGCATCAACGCATAATCTCTAAACCACTGAAACTGACGGCATCCAACGATGTTAATGTTTAACTTCAACTAATTTACGAAATTGAATAACACCATCTCACAACAGACCCAGTTGAACTCCACTGGTCACTGCTTCTCATTAGAACTCCAGAAAATACAACTTGGAGACCGTCACTAGTGATCATATATTGACTAATATCATAAATGTTTTTTGTGGATATTATAGTCATTTCAATAGTTGAGATCATAGGTCAATTGTAGTTAGACCACTATTGAAGACCTGTTAGCACTAGACAATCGTTTCGTCTTAGTATAAAACTCTTCAGCTTAATTCATTTATTAAAAGTTTCATATATATTTTCTTTAGCATTCATTTTCATTGTATATTCTTTTTCTTTACTTTGACCATCCCCCTACCGTCCATTTACTTCATTACCCTATATGGTTACCATCAATAAAACATTGGTGATTATCTTCACTCAATATCGAAACTATCAAGATTGCATGGGTAAGTTATGTTATGGTTCATTTACATTTTTATTAAATTTGTTATCATCGTGTTTTTTTCCTCTTCCCCCCTTTTTTTCTTTTCTTTTCTGTATTACTGCGATAAACATAGTTCCTTTTCTCTCTTTTTTTGGGGGGGGGAATGTTCAAAGAAAGCATGTTGCGTAATCATATCTTACATTTGTATAAGAAATAGTAAAGAAAAAAAAGAAGAATTTATGATTCGTAAATCGATGGGGGGAAGGGGTTATAATAATCATAACCTTTTTTTCTGTTTTTGATAGGGTTTAAATAAATCACAAATTTTCGTCATGATAGGCTTGGGAAGATTGTTGAGTTTGTAATTGAGATCATGAAATAGATTAATGTTGGATCATCATTGAAAATCTAGAGATACTGGATAGCCATTTCATTGTAATTTGGAACTCCTCAGCATTAGGCATCGACGATCACACATATAGGACTCAAACTCAGGACCTTTAGTCTTTAATGAGAAAGCTTAACTTCTGAACCAATAAGCCCAGTATCCATTAGTGGCTTTACATTGAACGGTTCATGATCTTAATTTAAACTCAACAATGTTTATAACTCTATACTGATAATTATTATGTGCTCGTTAATGACTACATTTGAAAGGGAGTTTTCGGAGTCTTTGTAATAAGCCATGAATAGTAGAGTTCAACCATGTCAGCTGTGAGGTAGTTACCGACTGAAGACAATGGAAGATGGTTGCTCAATATGGTGGATTGATTGAATTTTGACAAATATATTCACTTATTAAATATCAACAAACTAATATTCTGAAGTATTTTCCGTTGACAACAGTTAATAATCACTTGTATCTTCTTGATGATGGTTTTCGTTGTTCTCCAAGTTTCCGATCCATAAAGTATAACTGTCTTGACATTCGTATTGAAAATTCTGACCTTGGTGTTGTTTGACACTTGCTTTGAGTTCCAGATGTTCTTCAGCTGTAAATATGCTGCTCTTGCATTACCGATCCGCGTTTCCACATATGTATCAGATCCACCGTGTTCATCAATGATGCTGCCCAGAAATGTAAAGATTTTTACATCCTCTAAAACTTCTCCATCAGATGTGATTCGATTGGTGCGTGTTTTGTTGTATCCAAGAGTCTTGCTTTTCCCTTTATGTATGTTGAAACCTACTGCTTCTGAGGTTGCTCCTACATTAGTCGTCTTCGATCAATATGAGCAGCCTATTGTCTTTATTGGTCCTTTTTCTTTCTAATCCCAACAGCTGAATCCAGAACATCAATAACAGCTTCCAATATACGAATCATTTATTGCAAACATACTTGGTTTATATACCAACAAAACAGACTACATCACACCATAAAGTAGGGAATAACATTTGTACAAGATCAAGCCAAAGAGTGGTTGTGATCATGGAAGACGGTACTCAATAAACTGAACATAACTCAAGAACAGTAACTTGTAGATCAAAATGAAGCTTATAATAAGAGGAATATAAATATACACAATCTAACTACTGAATAGCTATACAATAAGGATATATACATACACATAACAACAGTCCATAAATAGTTCTCAGAAGTTACCCTTAACTTAACCTTCACTAGGATATAACAGAATTGGCTATTCATAAGCATTTCGATAATGCAATAAGAGAAGATGAAGTTTATCAAAATTATGTAATATATTGCGCAATACATTTCGAACAGTTTAATCACACGTCTATACTTGTTAAGACATTTTTATATGAAAACTAATAAGTCAACTAAAGGTAAGTCGTAACAATGACAAATAAAGTGCACGAGAACAATGTAATCACCACTCTGGATAATAAATCAGTATTACCAGAGCAGGTTAAGGGTAAGAACAAATTGAAGCCAAGGCTTCAATAAACCTTAGTATACGTCCTTGAAGACTTTTGTACAAAACTACAAATGCTGACTTGATGTTAACCTTATGATCAGTCTCAATCAAATGTTTCCCAATGAAGCAAGATATCTGTCTATCCTGTGATCTTAATTGATCATTGGAATTCATTTGTTTCTGCAGCCATTTGGTTATGTATTCCGTCAACCTTAATTGTAAATCACGATTGCTCCTCCCTATGTACGTGTTTCCACACATACATGTAAATTGATAGATACAATCGCTTACGTACTGTTTGGACTTTCGGTGAAACATAGACCTTATCTTTTCAATAATAAATAGTTGGGTTGCATAAAATGTCCAGTTGATAGGTAATTTAATTCTCCATTTCAACATGAAACTATTTGAGTCACCTCTAAATGGTAACATTATATAAACTCACTTTTTGGATGCTAGGAGTGTCATAGGTCAGTAGTGCTCATCCACGACACCGCCTCACGGGATTCGAACCCAGGACCTATTAGTCTCGCGCCATGCACTTAACCAACTAGACCACTGAGCCGGCATCTAACAGTGTTAATGTCTAACTTATTCAATAACGTTTCAGTCAAGAGCTTCATTTCTATTTCAATAGTATCACTAGTACAAATATGATTGAGTCTAATTGAATAAGCCTTTTATTGGTCAGTAACTATGGAAATTAAGATATTGTCCCATCCATATTAGCTTACTCTAGAAGCAGCATATATATATATATTAGTTCGAGAACATCATTGTTTAGTGTATAATGTCCTAGAGTGAACATCAACTCTAAGATGTAGATACATCCAGTTGATGAGTCGCCAGTAGGACGAAACGTGCATCCCAGATACTATTATTAATATTATTGTAATGTATATGAAAATCAATAAGATGATTTGATACTATTCTCTCCTCTTTGTTTTCTTTTTCTTTTACTTTTAGGCTGTATTATCTGGGATCAGTTTTAGAACTTATATATCTGATGGATGGAATAAATTAGATTGTGCTGGTTTAGCATTATATATTGTTGGTTTTATATTAAGATTAATTGTATTATTACGATTACGTAATCATGAAGGAGAGAATTTTAATATACAATATGAACGTTATTATATTGTGACAGATCCGATATTAGATCCATCACGTATATGTCTTGCAATTAGTTTATTCACATTCTATATACGTTTAATGTATACATTTAGTTTTCATATTGCATTAGGACCAAAATTAATTATGATTGGTAAAATGGTAAGTTTTGATATTTGTGTTTTTTCTTGTCTTTCTCTTTTTTTTCTTTCTATTTTTCTCTTTTTTTTTACATTCATCTAATGGGTAAAGACAATGGTGTACGGTGGTGCAACTTCGTGGATTGGTTGAAGTTAGACATTAACACCGTTGGGTCTCGGCTAAGCGGTTTAGTTGGTTAAGTGTTTGGCGCGAGACTGATGGGTTCTGGGTTCGAGTCTCGCCGGGGCGGGATCGTGGATGCATAATGGGTGGATATTTGGAGATTATTGAAATCTTAATAAGTGTATAACGATGGTGTAATAAAGTGCGCAGTGCGCGCGAACGCTTGATCTCTAGACCACTGAGACTGTATCCAATAGTGTTCATGTGTAATTTCAACTAATCCATGAAATTGAGCGCCACCATCCATTATTGTCTTCAGTGAATTACTAACTCACAACAGACCAGGTTGAACACCACTGGTCAGTGATTCCCACTAGAACTTCAGGATATACCTCTTGAAGCCAATTATTAGTGAGCATATGTTGATTAATATCAGAAGGGGTTTTGAGGATAATACAGTCATTTCAATAGTTGAGATCATGAGTCAATTGAATTTAGATCATCATGGAAAACCTAGAAGCACTTGATGACCATTTCATTCTATTGTGAGACTTCTCAACATTGCACATCCACGATCCCTCACCCCGAGAGATTCGAACCCAGGATCTATCGGTCTGGCGTGCCAGCGCTTAATCTCTAGACCATTGAGACCATATTCAACGGTATTAATGTGTGACTTCAACTAATCCACGAAATTGAGCGCCACCATCTACTATTGTCTTCAGTGAATTACTATCTGGTCACTGCTTCTCACTAGAACTCCAGGAAATATATCTCCCAGCTTTTCCATGATGATCTAGCTTTAACTGACTCATGATCTCAACTATTGTAGTTACTATAATATCCACAAAATCCCTTCCTTAAACTTACATAGTGATGCATTTACTTAGTATTATTTGCTTGTATCTTACCCTTGTTGTTAAGGACTTCAATTAATCAGTCTTTTTTGATATATGTGTATCCTGTATGGATTGCCTTAGTATTGCCTTAAATCACGAGCATTTTAAGCAAAGATGGATGATGAATACCAGTGAAATCCACGATAAGCCACACATCATCCTATTTATGACTTGTCACTTGAATGTACCCGTATTCCAGAGTTGATGTTCACTCCGAGACTCGAACTCAGTACCGTTCGCTTCAAATGTCATCGCATCATCCACTTAGCTATTGAATTCTGATAGCCACTTGCTTGTTCAATGGGGTGAAGTTTAAATTAACTTGTTATTGCTTGCTTGTATCTTCCCATTGTTGTTAAGATCTACAATCGATCCTGTGCGGACTGCCTCAATATTACTTTAAGTTGATGAAGATTTGTAGCTCAGGTGGATGATTTTTATGGATGGTTTGAAAGATACAACCATAACAAAGAAGTAAACAATGACAGGTTTAAGGTCAACAAGAACCAATCAATATCGAGATCTACATGATAAGCTATGAGCCATATGTGAAGAAATTCGAACACTTCACTTCTATCTGAAGTTTGTGCTGATGATGTCGTTCAGAAGAACGATGAAAGCTCCACGACCAAATAATCCAGCTCAAAGAACAAAACTCCACCAAAATTGCTTTATGTTACAAGGATTCTAAGCAAAAATGAATAGTGGCTAACAGTAGAATTCAAGATGCACTTTTCTTCCTACTTGAGATGAAAAGTTTCCACATAATAATAAACTTCATTTTAATACTCATCACCATTGAGCATCAATGATTTGAGGGGAAATTTCTTAGAAACCGTAAATGAAAAACCTTTTAATAGAATATTAATTTCTAATTAACGTACAGTCAATCATTTTAGCAAAAGAATAAGCCTATTATTATTACCAATCGATCAATATATAGCAGCTACTGGAAATCTGTCAGTATTGAATGATCGTTTCATTCATGTATGGGAATCTTCATCAGACCACATCCACGATTTCCCATCATAGGGAATCGAAACGGAGACATTTGACCTCACCCACGAATGATTAATCTCTAGACCACTAATCAAGATCCAATGGTGTTGTAATGTTTAACTTCAACCAACCCACGATATTAGGTGACCATCTTGCATCATAATAAGTCTGAATCTGTCAGCTTCAAGTTATTCTTGGCCAAGGTTATTCTATATGTCCTATCACTGTATTGAGTGAGCTATGAAAAATGTATACATTTGTAGCATGAAGCCGTGAGGTTGAAATCGGTGTGTGTATGTATATAGGTAGATTGTGTGCAAAATAAATCAGGTGGAATATGGTTGTTTAGTAAACAGTTCAGATTGGATGATAAGATAAGATAGATAAGATCCCGTTCACTTCTACAAACAGATTTGTCTACAGATTAAGTTGTGTTGATTTTGATGCATTCTACATCGGAGAGTCTTTCCGTGTGATCTCGACGAGTGCTAAGAGACATGTAAGTTACACACATATAATTCTGAATCCCTCGGCCTTCAATAGGAAAGGAGGCCTGAATATTTATCTAATCTGGAATGTTTATCTAAACAACGGCATTTGATCTTATTCATTTCCCACCCGACCTACTCACCAAATTTCAACCTCACGAATTCATATTCCAAATGTATACATTGTTGATACTCACAGTCTGATGTTCAAGATGATTCATTGACAGGTCGGACAAATTCACCATGACTAAGAATAACTTGACATTGACAGATTCAAACCCATTATGATTAAAGATGGTCGCACAATATCGTGGATTGTTTGAAGTTAGACATTACAACACCATTGGATCCCGGTTTAGTGGTCTAGAAACTAATCATTCGCGGGTAAGGCCGTATATACTCGGTTCGATTCCCTATGATGTAACATCGTGGTTGCGCTCTGACGCAGATTCCCATACTAGGATGAAACGACCATTCAATACTTACAGATTTCCAGTGGTTTTCCAACATTGATCGATTCATTATATATATGTGTGCATGTATTCGATACTTTTGAGTTCGACCTTGTCATTGATACCTAAAAACAGTTTATTGTTTGTTTCTTTCATTGAATTTTATCCCATAAGGTGACCAATGATTTAATTCCATTTATGATTATTTTAACTGTGATTATGGTTGGTTATGCAGTGGCTGCACAATCAATCGCCTATCCAAATGGTTTATTTACCAAAGAGAATATGACATTACGTAGGTTTTCTTTCTTTCTTTTTTAATCTATCCACATTTTAAACTAATATAACTATAAGCAAAAATGAATAGTGACCAACAGTGGAATTTAGTATGACATGCGTCACTTCGTCCTCTTTGAAACTCTTCAGCTGAATGTATTTTTATCCCAGAGTTGAGTTTCACTCAAAGATGAATCAATTACAGTCCATGAAGGTTTAGACTTAAGTCAACTCAAAGGTGATTAGGTATATTTCCTTAGATGAATTAGTAACAGAAGGGGTTTTGAGGAGATTGTAGTAATTTCAATAGTTGAGATCATGGATCAATTGAAGTTAGAACACCATGGAAAACTTGGAAGCACTGAACAGCCTTTTCATCCTATTGTGGGACTCCTCAGCAGTACGCATTCATGACTCCGTCTAGTGGGATTCGAACCCAGGACTTATCAGTCTCAGTTAAACATTAACACTGTCGGATGCCGGCTCAGTAGTCTACTGGTTAAACGCTCGAACGTCAGACTATGAGACACTCAAATATGAATACTCAACAATTTCTCATGGTTTATTACTAATCATTCCATGTTGTTTTCATTATTTCAAGTTAAAGTTCAATTACAATTATCAAGAGTACACCCTATTCTAAATCAGTTTATTTATTATCATAATCCATTCTCTTGTTAAGTTTGATATGTTCAGATTGATATTCTAATCCATTTAATACGCTTTTTAAAAGAGGTCATTGTAAATTCAGTTGGTAGGATTATTATAAGCTTGAATAGTTCACTTCTTCTTCTTTGTTGTTGTTGTTGCTGTTCTTGTTCTTCTTCTTCTCGTTCTCGTTGTTGTTGTTGTTCTTCTTGTTCTTCTCGTTCTCGTTGTTGTTGTTGTTGTTCTCAAAGATTACGATTACATTCATAAACAAAAAGATACGTCAAATTAAGGTCATTTCTTTACAAATATGACAATGATATAATGGATAATGTCAAATTTATATTAAACAGTTTCTTTTGTTCTTGTTGTTGTTGTTGTTGTTAGATAGAAAGAGAAATTTGATGGATTCTTAATTATTCTTTACATTATTAATGAGTAAAGATAGATAATGACTAGCAATGGAATCTAGTTTGATGAGCGTTTTGTCCTATTTAAGACTTGTCAGTTAGATGTATCTGCATCCTAGAGTTTATATTCACTCCGGTATGCGGCTGACGAGTATCAAATGGGACGAAACACACGTTAAACTAGATTCCACTACTAGTCACTATCTATCATTGCTCAGAATGTTTTTGAATTAAAGCAATATCGAGGAAATCCGTACAGGATGTACATAAGCCAACAAAAGATATATCAATCACAGTCCTTAACATTAATGGAAAGATTCAAGTAACTCATATCAAATGGATTTATACTTTACCTCATTTCACAAGCAAGTGGCTATCAAGACTCAGTAGTTAAGTAGATAACGTGATGCCATTTAAACCAAATGGTTCTGGGTTCGAGTTCCAGAGTAAACATCAGCTCTGAGATACAGGTACATTCTGCTCATCAGTGAATATTTATTAGCAGAAATGTTCTTCAGAAAACTTACATTTCATTGAGTTCATGAGTCGATCTAAGTTTCATAATCAGTCAGTCAGTTAGTAACAACGTAGAACTTCGTATATACGTATATCAGTTCGAGTTGCTATACTACATTAGCACAGAGATACAGTTGTCGATTCAAATACCCGTCAAGTTTCATAATGGGTTTTCAGGAATCCTAGTAAGAAGTCGTGACTAATAGATTTCGATTTATATTGAGTGTGATACATTTATCCACTTCAGACAATAAACGAATTATTTCAAAAGATCATGAATTAATTGAAGTTAGACATTCACGGGCGAGAATAGGCAAAACAAGGGCCGCATTCCTACAATTGAAGAATAAAGGAAACTCAAAACCACTGTTTGTTAATCGATATCAAAACCAGGATCTTCAATACGAATATCAAGACAGTTCTACTCTGCGCAGTTGAAACTTGGAGATCTACTACAACCATCGTCAAGAAGGTAAAAGTAGTTTTAAATAGCTGTCTACACAAGATACTCATCATCCATTGGCCAGATACCACCAACAACAGCCTACTGTGGGAGAGAACAAACCAGCTTCCATCTGAAGAGGAAATTAGGAAAAGACGATGGAAATGGATAAGACATACACTACGGAAATCACTAAACTGCATCACGAAGAAAACCCTAACTTGGAATCCTGAAGGGAATCAGAAAAGAGAAATGCCAGAGAACACATTACATCGTTGAATAGAAGCAGATATGAAAAGGATGAATAACAAATGGAAAGAGCTAGAAAGGATTGCACAGGACAGGGTTGGATGGCGAATGCTGGTGAGTGGCCTATACTCCTCCACGAGGAGTAACAAGCGTAAATAAGTAAGTAAGCAATACATTCACACCGTTGAATGCCAGCAAGTTAAATACTTTAGAGTTTAGTATTCACACGTGAACCGAAGTTCCTAGGTTCAAGTCCCTTTAGTGCGAGATGATGAATACACACTTCTGAAGACTTCTATCCTATGACAAAACGATCGTCCAGTACTTTCAATCTTTAAATGATGGCTCATGAACTCAACGATTAAAATTCCTACAATCTCCACAAATCTCCACTTTGATAGTAACGATAATGTTAGTTTAGTAAGTTAGTTAGTTATACCTAATCTATTGTGTTTAATTATTCAAGAAAACTCATTTTATATTTACTTATCATGTCTTTAGTTATAATTAATTAATTAATTATTCATTTTCATGTATGCCTAATCATCCAGCTTGTTTACAGTAATAATAGTATTGATAGTAGTAATAGTAGTGGTAATAGTAATGGTAAGAGTAATGGTAGGATTAATGGTAGGAGTAATGATTATGGTAATAATAATAGTACTAATAATAGTAATAGTAGTAATGCTTATCTTCTCTAAATTCTCTTTTGTTATTGTTTTATTCCCTATTCTAATCCTATCCGAACTCCCCGGTTCTATTTCCAAAAAAAAACAAAACAAACCAAACAATCTAATTGGGATCTTCAATGAATTCAAGATTCTGAAATTAAACATATGACATTTGCTGATATTATATTCTCAATGTATACAACTGCATATTTTCAAATGTTTGGTGATTTTAGTTTAGATGCATTACAAGGAGAAGGTAAGTTGAATTGTTTGATATCAAATCATACTATTATTAGTATGAATAATTGATTTATCATTTATTGAATGGATGTAGTTCAACAAAAACAAATTAAATGTCATCTGTATGAAGTTGTGAAGATTGTTATGAGTTTGATTGAGATCATGAATTGATGAATGTTAGATTGGTAATGAAAACTTGGACGTACTGAACGACTGTTTCGTCCCAATATGAGAATCCTCATCATTCGTTTTACTAAAGTTGTGTACAATGGTTTATTTTGACAGTTATTGAATAAACCTGTATTTCAATAAGAAGATTTTAGTTGAACAATCATGTAATAACTTATGGCATTTTGCCCTATTCATATATGACGTACTGATACCGTCAATTAGAGAACAGTGATTTATTGATTGGACCAGTGATTCATAATACCCATACGATCAATCTAGAGTCTTTATCCATCCTTGAATGAAGTCAGACAACAATCAAAGCAAAATGTTGAAACTTAAGTGACTAGCAAGATTAGTTATTAATCTAAACTTGTGGTTTAGTCTATTGAGCATCAGTATTAAATCACCATAACTTGAGACAATACTGGCTAAAATTTAGCAGTTTGAATTGAGCTACTTGTGAGTAGTTAAACTTTTCGTACAAAATGTAATGACAAGAGAGATCCATAATGCTGGTCTAAATATGGTGGGTTCGAGATAGGCAATGAAAATGTCAGCCAGAATTGTACTGACTGATGATCTCAAACAGAACAATATGTTGAGTCCGTTATTATCACACAAACTTAACTTTCCTTTCTATCTTTGGTAATCTGTCGTTTTTCATTCTATTATTGTTGAGGAGATTCAGAAAAATTTTTGGAAAAATGGCCAAAAATAGGCTCTCAAAACTCTGGGAAACCTCTTGTCTAATCAGCATTCAATAGACGTTTTATCAGTAACATCTAGAAGGTGGAAAGGCACATTTTCCGTTTCTGATTGGATGATTGCCTATTACTGATACTATGTTTAGTAACGTTCCAGAATCTTTCGGAAGTCCAAGGCTATATAAAATACTATAAATACCCTAGATTTTTTGTACATAAACAAACTTTTGGAGTAAAACGGTTCTTCCATATTTCACTTTTTCTCTCCCGTGTTCAGATTGTAGTTTAGATTTAGGCTGAAGGTTATTAGAATAGCTTAGGAAACCGAATCTAGCATTCAATTAAAAGATTTATCGGTTATTTCTACTTCTTTTCAATCGTTTTGATATCTGTTAACTAGCCAGTATTACAAGTTGTCACCATTCTATTCTTAACAGTTATAAACTGAACACTTTTCTTCACCCTACTATTATTCACCAATCGAATATCTGGTTTCTACAAACAACTTACTATACAATCCCAATTCACATTGTTTTAATCACTCATTATCATTTTAATTTACTGCTGACTACTGCTTGTAATGAATATGTTAACTATAAATACGATTGTACATCTTACGTAGACGAAGTCATTTAATAGAAAGTTTTATTCGTTGAATTGTCGTCAATGACATGATGGATTTATTTTTTCGTATTTTATTTTATTTAAAAACTTTAACTACTTACAAGTAGCTCAATTTAAACTACAAAATTTCAGCCAGTATTGTTTCAGGTTACAGTGATTTAATACTGATGCTCAATAGACTAAACCACAAGTTTAGATTAATAACTAATCTTGTTAGTCACTTAAGTTTTAGCATTTTGCTTTGATTGCCGCCTGAAATGACTTTTAAATACGATTGTACAGCTTACATAAATGAAGTCGTCTAATAGAAAATTCTATTCATTGAATTGCCTACTACTTAAATTATTCACTTTACATCTAACCTTCTTAATGGTGAATCAGATAGACTTCTACTTGAAGTTAGTTCTGGTGATGTCTTTTGGAAGGAAGACGAAAGCTCCACAACCAAACCATCAAGCTCAGAGAAAAACTCCATTAGAATCATCCACCTGAGCTACAAATCTTCGCCACTATATTGGCTACTACTCCAAATACAGGTTAGTATATTCATATTGGAAAACTGACAGATAAGTCCTGATATGCAATGAAGTTCTTCAGATATTCAACAATACCATGTATTATTTTGACAGTAGTCAACTTAAATAGCTTACCAGCTGTCAATTGAACTGTAAATGTACATTTCTGTGTAGTTATGACTTGCCAGTCTAAAGAATCTGCAATGATCTAATCTGTTCGGAAAGTAGCTAGAACAACATACATTCCATGAGTGTAATAGTTAATAGTTTCTAGCCAACCTCCTCATTATTTTGTTATTATTAGTACTAGTAATAATACAGTGGAATAATTTCCACTTTTTTTATTCATTGAATAGATCGAACATGTCAAAATCATATGTGCCCTACGAAAACATCACGTTGGCTTGTACCTATTATGCTTGGATTCTATGTGTTATTAACTAATATACTGATGTTCAACTTACTTATTGCCATGTTTTCGTAAGTGTAATCATTACAACTTGTTATTAGTTTACATACTTACTTACTGACTTATATCTGTTACCCCTCGTGGAAGAGCATAGACTGTCCACCTGGAATCTCCATCAAAGTATGTTCTGGACAATTCTTTCCAGTTGTTTACAATTACTATTCATCCTTTTGATGTCCGCCCTCAATTTCAGCCCCATATAGTAGAACTATCTTGACGTTCGTATCAAAGATTCGAACCTTGATGTTGGCTGACAGATGTTTTGAGTTTTATCAGGTTACTATATTACAAGAGTTTGTTTAACCACCACTAATTAAGAGCTATATAACGATTGAGATTCAGATATTATGAGTAAATACTATTTTTATAAATTCCAGTCGTTTCATTTGTACGTACATGTCTTCATCCTTCAATTTGCGTTGCTCCACTGCCTTATAAATTAGAATTGTATGTCAAAGACTCGGAGAGTGGCCTGCTAGGATAGCAACTTACTTCGGTTTAGGTGGCCAGTCAGTATTTCAGCTCTCACACAAATCGAATGACGATATGTGGCATTTATGTATTCGATACCTCCTTGTATCAATGTTTATGTGTTTAGACAAAGAAATTAATAAGTTGAGTGTACTGGGAGAGTTATATATTCATTGGTCTGCACGTTGAACTGAACAAGTTCTGTCTGTGTCATAGTTTCTGTAACTATTTTTGAAAAAAAAGAAATAATGTTTCACTCGATGAGACTATTATTTACGGACGACCTTTGAACGATGCTAAACTGACATTGAGAGTTACAACTGATTGATCACTGGATGGCGATCAATGTCATGCGTGTCAATAGCATTCGATCTGCACTAATAAGGACTAGGCAAACATGACATTGAGCACCACCCAGTGATCAATCAATTGTGATTATATCTCAGTCCTACAAGAGGTTGGTCGCGGCTCGGACAGCTCAGTGGTAACGTCTCTGACTGTGTAGCTGGGTGACGCGAGATCGAATCCGCTAGGGAGCACCAGTCCCCTCAAGATTACAGGTACACCTTGCTGACGAGTGCTAAGTAGTACGAAACCTGAGTCCAGGGTTTCCTGTTGACTACCTCCAACCACCATCTAACCTGGACATTGAGAGTGTCCACCTAATAACCGGAACCAAATAAGGGTTATAAATCAGCGTGAAGAATTTAAATTATGACTTACAGTTGATGGTTAAGGGTTAGGAATTAGACTTAAGGTTTTCATCATAAACTAACTTTGGCTATAATGCCAAAACTCTATTCAATCAAATGGATGAGTTAACTTTGCACAAAAATCTCATACTTGATTAGTTCGTCCATAAGTTATAGTCTCGCCTTTTAATCTTTTATTGTTGGTTTTATAGAAATGTTATTGAGAATTTCTCATTCAAAACTATAAGATGTTTGATACAGAAAAATACATTCAGCTATCTGAAGTCACTTTTAATAAGATTTCAATTTGACATTTTGATTTGGTGACCATAAAGTGATAGGTCGATTTAATAAGTTTGTAACGGTAAATAAATCTCACAGATAAATAGCTCTGTAAGTCTTCGACATTAGATGCTGACCACATTAGTTTGAATGGACTCACCATGTTGAAGGCGCTCAGTTATGCATCCACAGCAGATCACGAGTGGGAACGCCGTGCTCAACATCCCCTGAAATCGGTAGCCAGATTAGATCAGTCGATCCACGATATATTGACAGATTATCAAATATATCTTTGAACTTCCTAGCCTCTGTCTTTTGATTTCACTTGGTGGATACGATGCATAGTAGAAGGTGTTACTGGTTAAAGTGTTGTCCAACTCCAAATACCTGTGGCATCTTCAAGTTTATTAATATGGGTGTGAATATGATATTAAAACTATACCATCGTACAGAGATCTTTAGTTTTAATACCAAGAATCTCAAAGAGTTAACCTGAAGATTTTCTCATTAAACTATCACTGATTTCAATTTATTGTAAATTAATGTGGAAAATAAGACACACTGTTTCTCTTTATTTTTATTTATAAGATGAACTACTGTTTTAAATATAAGTAGCCTACATTTTAACTGATATTTTTTTCCAGTAAAACCTACGAAGAAATAGAGAGTGCATCAACATACTATTGGAATTATCAAAGATATCAAATGATCAATGATTATGTTCATAGATCACCACTTGCTCCACCAATTATTATTGTTTGGCATTTCTATGAAGCATATAAAGCTATTGGAAATCAATGCGCAAGTTTAAGAAATGCTGAAACAGCAAAATATAATCCATTTTGTAAATCAATCTGTTTATTTTTTTAACGATTCTGGTTATCAATGTAAATTATGATAATTATTTATGTGTAGCTTTGAATTGTCATGTGAATTCGATGTATATGATCCCTTTATTCATTAAGTCAGTATGTATTTTAACTGGTTCTTAACAGTTAGAAGATGATAGCTCGTTTAAGTAGAAGCCTATTTAGAATGAGATCGTTTGTTTGTCGACACACATCCATTACAAAAGAAATCTGGTTACATGTCTAATGTGTAGAGCTAAAATAATCTGCTCAATGGATGCTATAAATGAGTAGTAGTTTATCAGTAGCATACTGATAGAGATGAACTGCTTGAGACGATTTTTAAAGAAATATACGTAAACATGAAAAAAACCAAGTTTCGGATGTTGACCGCTAATAACAAAGTTCTATTTCTCCAAAATATCATTCAACGAGTATTTAGTTAGCGATATTGTCTATGATCATTCCAAGCGATGTATTATATACCTTCGTCATTTTCAATCTCCTACATTTAGCGGAAGTGATGAGGTTCAGAACCTATGATCCTAAGTTTTTGAATTCAGAAGAAATTCATGAAAGTTCTGTCCCTTCTTTGGACGGTTATGAATTAACAAACTATTTTATTAGGTTTTTTCACATTCTCTATTTGTTTGTTGTCTTCCATCTCATTTCGGGGAATCGGTACCTTTAACTTCACTATCCTTTACGCATTGATATGCTTATCTCACATTTGTTTTACTTACTAAGGTGTACGATTTACCGATGTGAAAAAAGAAAGAGAAATGGTCAAATGGGAGCATATGAAAGCTATGGATTATTTAAGAGAACCATCAACCAAAGCAACTGGGAAAAGAGGTGTAGCTGAATCACGTGCTGTGGTATTTCGTGGTGGTGGAGGTGTTGGTCCTGGTCAAGGACCAGTAATGGATTTAAAAAGTGAAATGTCCAGTGTTACAGAGGTAATATTGATGCTATTCAATGATAATCTAAATTTGTTTAGAATATCAGTGAACAATATGAACGTATGTTGACTAGCTGAAATGAAATCAGGGATATTTTAAACATATGACCAGCATGCTTGACAATATAACTAGAGTGTCCCAGTATATACTATTCCGTTCTAGCGGATTTAATAAAAGCAAACAATTTTATTAGTTTAAAACCAGTTAAACCTCCAGTTTTGTCACATATTACATTAGTCTACTATGGTGACTTGTATTCACTTGCGATACATAGAGTTAAATAATTCAATCTATTTGTAATCTTTATTAAACTGCTATCTTTCTGTGAATGATGCTTCGTCTGAAACAGATGATTTAACTATGAAGCTTTCGTTACTTTTCTGTCAGAAATGACAGAAATCTCAGAACCTTCTTCTTGAACACTAGTTTTGATCATTATGATTATGGTGTTTGTACAAGTTTTCTATTTTGAATGTAAGTTCAGATAACACTTAAAGGCATAGAACATTGGATACTTCTTGTTTTTCATAATTGCAAACTACTCATCAATGCTGACACACAAAATCGGACTATAGACTTATTGATATTATGACTAATTAGATGTTTGTTAACAGCTATTGCAGTATCCAATGGTTTATACTTCCAACTTCTGCTAATTCACGATCCAATACCATAACTAATCTATGTCATTAGTGAATAAATAGCTCATTCTTAATACAGTTAGTTATATTACATCAGGAATAATATCATAATAGGGCTTTGAGAAATCTATCTTAAACTAGCGATTAGTAAGCGCATCATTGTTAACAAGGTAGGCGAAAGGTGGTTGGCCTCTTTTATAATTGATTGGGTTCTTCTCTTCCAATAATAACATTATCATTGTTGTTTTTCTTGTATTATTCTATTTCTCCCAGGGTATTGGAATGGAGTTAGAAAAACGTTTCAAAGAGATTGATAATCAATTTCAACGTTTTAATGATGTTGATTCACGTTTGAATGATGTAACACAATTATTAACAAATTTATCTGAAGTAATCAGTAATGTGACTGAAACACAACAACGAGTAGGTTGACAATTGTTAGCTGTTATAACTCGTGAACCTGTGTGTTCTGTTTATTGTATAACGCAATGAGACCGCCAATCAGAGAGCAGTGAATTGTCGATTGAACCAGTGACGCATGAAACACGTGCGAGCAGCCTAGAGTCCTAGTCTAGCACAGTCAGTTAAGTCCAGAACACCAATCACAGCCTCTGCGATATGAATCATTCATTATTCTTATCGGGATATAACATTACCTTTCATTATTCTTCTGAACAACATTGTACTGATGATGTTACTCAGAGGAAGGATAATCAAAACTTCAGGACCAAAGTGTCTACCTCCGTGAATAAAACTCCACTTAAATGGGTAAAGCACAAGTGGGAACAATCAAGTGTATTTTAAGAAAACATTACAGAATATCTTGGTAGAATCTGGTAATCATTACTTCAATTAGTTGTCTCAAACTTGATTGTTCCTTTGTTTCCACATCAGACATTCACTGCTCTCGTTCTCATTTCTTCGAACTTAACTTTCTGCCACCAGGCATTTCACTTTTGATTGGTCAAACATACTACTTATATCTGTCGACATTGATAGCACATATCACAGTAGTAGTGTTGAAGTATTTTTTTGAACTCGTGTTATTCACAGTAACTAATACTTAGCGAAAGACATAAAGTTGGAGAATAAATAAAAACTGTAAATAGTTCTACAACAAACAAAGTGGGATGATACTTATTTTCATGCAAATACAAACATTTATTAACCGTTAAAATGCATGATATATTGTCACATGATATATTTGCGCCACATAATTTACTTGATTTATGTGTGAGCTGTGATACTACCCGGGTGCCCAGACCGAAGCAGGTGGTTTTATTAGAGGGTCAGACGCGGAGCTTTCGACCTAAAGGTTTGATCCACAAAACAGTGGAGCAACATCAGAAGATGCAGTCCCATAATAGCCGGTGACCAATAATTGGTTCATACGCCATTTGTTCCCTCGGGATCCTGGATCCCATGTGCACCATTTGTTTGGAATTAGAGTTTCCCATTTTTCCAGGTGGATCCTCCATATCCATCAACCCGTTTAAAGCTCCGAACATTCGATTTTCGTCCTCTCATTTTCGCAACCAATACCCTATCTGCAATAAGTCAGTGTGCAGGACTTCCCTGACAGTGGCTGTATGCGTGTGGCTATATGAGAGCATTTGGAGAGGGAGAGATAACTCTTTCCACTCTCGGCCGTATCATGGAATATGCGGGTGAGATGTATATATCCTAACAATCAATATGAATCAGACAAAATCATCAATGGAGAGTGGTTAATCTAACATAACCGTCACTGTGACTATAAGCCCACATGTAGATAACGATGGTTTCGATGACAGCTTATCACTATTACACAGAGATGATAAATGATTGAGACGTATTTAATGAAATAATACTATTATCTCGATGGATTTTTTTAACAAACTGAGTTCTGTATCATTTTCTAGATTATTCGACAAATAAATGAACTTCCTACTTGTCAATGTAATGAATTCACTGATGAGGTTGTTCCTGTACAAAAATCCACTACAACTCAAGCTGATTCAGGAACAGCAGAAACTAGAAAACGTACAAAACTAGAAGTAGCTATTCAATCTGCATTAGAAGCAGCTAAAGATGTACTACGACCACCAACACCACCACCACCACCGCCACCACCTCCTCCACCCCCAAGGTGAGTGTGTTTTTATGTACATGTATATGACTTTATTGAATTAAGACTATTTAGTCAAATGTAGGAATGAATTTTGCGCTAAAATCCAAGATCTATCGTTGCCAATCTGATTGGTTCGTCAATAAATTATAGTCTTGCTAATAAAAACAGAACAAAAATTTCATTTGTTTGTGTCTTTATTAGTAAACAAGTTGATAATGGATGATAATTCATTCATTCTATTAAAGACTAACAAACAAAAATCATGAGGAGGCTCACTTGAAATCACTGTATCTGTTGTAATGAACACTTGCCTGACACCGGTCTTTACTTCGAACGGGTCTGTCAACTGTCCTCCATTCAAGATTTTGCAGCTTAATTCATGATAGGAATTCCGTATGATATTGACTATTTTCTCAGGCACGCTGTGGTGTTGAAAAGCCTCCATAATATTGCCCTGTCCACGCTTTCAAATGCTTTCGCGTAGTCGAAGAATTCGATGTAGAATGATGAATTCCATCTAATTGATTGTTCCACAATGATCTGTAGTGTTGCGATTTGGTCTGTACACAATCGATCTTTGAGGAATCCAGTCTGTGGATCTTGAAGTTGGGCGTCTTGAGTACAAAAGGATTAATTTATTCACAACTTAGGGCAATCTAGTAACTGGTGTGATCATATGACTAGCTATATCTCATTTATCGTCCATAAAACCAGCCAAATACTGATCAATTAATACGGTAAAAAACAGATTGGTTATTAGGCTAACCATAGTCAACCAAGGCTGACTTTTATTTTAGTTTATATCATGTATTAAATATTTAACATATTCTGTAATTTCTTCAGGGAATCACCTGTTCTATTAGCTGCTGTTGTTCCTGGATCCGAAGATGATTCAAGTGGTTCAGAAGAAGGTGGTGATCCTTCAGCTGATCCAGTCATAGTACCTCAAGTTCCAGATATTAAAACTGGAAGAGTTATCGAAAGAACATTAGGTGATCATCGATTATGGAGAATGGCTCCATTTAATTTTGAAAAATATCCTGGAATGAGAATGAATGTACCACCGGAACGAATGGCATGGACTGTAAGTATTTCACTAGATGAATAGTTACTTTCATTTGATTATACTAAACACATGATGTTTAACTATTAAGCTTAATCAATTCATTTGACGAAAAGTATTTTGAAAAGTTTTGAATCATAAGCAAACATGGACAGTGGCTATCAGTGGAATCCAAGACGCACGTTTTGTCCTACTTAGGACTCGTTAGCAAAAGCAGGTAGCTATCAAGACTCAATAGCTGGGTGGATAACGAGATGGTGTTTGAAGCAAACGGTACTGGGTTCCAGTCCCAGAGTTGATATCAACTCTGAGATGCAGGTACATCTAACTGACGAGTTCCAAATAGGACGAAGTGACGCACTTCAAACTAGATTTCACTGCTAACCACTATAAAGCTTGTGAATTAAGGCAATATAGAGGCAATACTTACAGTATGCACATATGCCAATCAGAGACTGATTATTTACAGTCCTAAATAACAATGGGAAGATACAAGTAAAACAACACCAAATGATTTTCGAATTATATTTCACATTTCCCATGGAATCACAGTTTACTTATTATGATGACTGTATTCACTTATTATATGGTCACATTTTGGTTACTTTGAGGACATTTTTTTTATCCTTGTTTATTATGGGATATGAATGAATGCTCATCGTGTATATTAACTGGATAAGTGATAGATCTTTTAACAGAACGTTAGATTTGTTTCCCTAATCTCTTCTAGCAACCTTCAGACTTAATCTTAACCACAATCTGAACACGAGAGAAAAGGTGTGAGGACTTTTCTGGATCTCCCCAACAATACTAAGTGTTTATTTTTTTCACGACCATTTGTCACTACTAATTGTGAATGCGCATTACTTACTAAGAAGTACAAACATACTTACAAATGTAACCGCTTCATGCTATTTCAGTCTCAGTGTAGCTTAAATTTATTTCTTAATTGTGGTAATAAAAGTTCAACTAATTACTGATTTAAAACCCAGTTTCAATGTAAAGTCCTTCTTTAACTCCCTACTGGGTGGTAGGCAGGGTTCAGAATCGAATGATTTGAATACTTTTGAAAATGTATGATCTGTGAGGTTAATTGGGTCTTCTATGATATCATTCATGTAAATAAACTCACTATAATTAAAAGGACAGTTTATTAAGTCTCTTTTTAGATTAAACATAATCCATGAATATCAGATGGTTTTCGTGGATATTATAATAATTTAAGTGGTTAAGATCATGAGTCAGTTGAAGCTAGACCACCATTGAAAACCTGGAAGCACTGGACGGCCATTTCGTTCTATTGTGGGACTCCTCAGCAGTGCGCACCCACGAATCCCGCTCGCGGGATCCAGTAGGTTAAGCGTTCACACGCGAGACTGAAGGCCCTGGGTTAGAATCCCGCGGTCGTGATCGTGGATACGCACTACTGAGGAGTCCCACAATAGGGTGAAACGGCCGTTCAGTGCCTCCAGGTCTTCAACAATGGTCTAATATCAATCGGTTCATGATCTCAATCAAAATTATATGATTGACTTGATTATTACTATTCTATATCATAGTTTCAATTGTACATTTATACACTATTCATATACTTTCATTGAATAAATAGGTGGAATATCCAGATTACTTTGCATATGATGCTTGTGAAGAAGTTTTATTATTCCCATCAGAAGAATCACATGACGGTGTTAAGTAGGCTGAAGTTGTTTTTTCTTCTTCATTCATTCATTGCATGTTTTAATGATTATCTAAATGTACTGTATTCCATTGCATTTTCTATTGCATAATTAGTTACTAACCTGCTGGGTTTTTCTTTTTATAATTTTACAATACATGGAGCATGATGATGTGTTTTCTTTTAGCATGTAATACTTTCATTACTTATCTATCATAATAGCAACATCCTTATATAGTATGTAACTGAATTATATTATTGATTGAGATCCTGAATGAATTAATATTTTAGGTCCTGGGTTCGAATCTCGCGAGGAGGGGAGTAGGTCGTGGGTGTTCACTGCTGAGGAGTCCCATACTAGGAAGAAACTGTCATCTAGTGCTTCCAGGTTTTCCATGATGATCTAATTTCATGGTCTCAACAATCGAAATGACTAAAATCTCTACAAAACCCCTTCTTCTGTTCATTTCAATCTTCTTAATCTCAAATCTTTATTTAAACACATAAATAGTGGTACAAGAAGGCACCAAATATATATATATATGTGATACCCTTCGTCATTCGATTTGTGTCTAAGAGCTAGAACACTGTCTGGATGTAATAACCGAAGATGATTTTTTCAGGAGGCCACTTCTTGAGCCTTTGACCTAGAGGTCTAATTCATAAGGCAGTGGAGAGCTGTAGTCCCATGATAGCCGATACCCAACAATAGGTTTATGAGACATGTGTTCCCTCAAGATCTTGGAGAACATGTACACTATTGATTTGGAATCAGAGTTTCTTAACTTCTCTTAGGTGAATCCATCTTATCTACCATGTTGTTCAACTCGATGATTTTGTAATGGAGTAACTAAACATAGCTTAACGGTAATAAAGAAAGATGTGGGTTGAAATCAGTCAAAGCGAACCGAAATTATGAATTGAGGAGAAATGATAATGATGTAATCAAAACTTGAGAAAGATTTGAAATAATGAATGATATAATAGGTAAAATGTAGGTTTAATCTTACTAGAGTAAACAAAGACAGATTACTGGTTCTTTTAGGACACATAGATCTGATTCTAGACCTTTGATCGCGATAGCTGCGTATAAAAATTCACATATATCTGCCATAGTAGTTATATAAGTAGATTTGAAAGGAGTGCCTACGTTCGATTCAAAGAACATAAGCTTAATTGGATTAAAAGCAATCAGCATTGTCATTTTGAGACATCTCCTTGATACAGAACATCAAATGAATACATTGAAGACCTTCAAGATAATGAATAAACAATCAAATTCCAATCTTTTGAAATCCTTCAAAGCTATAGCGATCAAACGTCAAAAATCATATCTATGTATCTAAAATGAGGTAGTAATAAGTCATTCTTTACCCTGGTAACATTACATCCCTTTTATTACATCATTCATTGTTTCAAATCTTCCTCAAGTATTGGTTACATCACCGCCATTTTTCTTCAATTCATAATTTTGGTTCGGTTTGATGAAGTTCAACTCTTACTTACTTACGCCTGTTACTCCTTGTGGAGGAGCATAGGTCGCTCACTAGCACTCTTCATCCACCTCTGTACTGAGCGATCCTTTCCAGCTCTTTCCAGTTGTTATTCACCCTTTTCAAATCTGCTTCTATTTCCCGATGTACTGTATTCTTCGATCTTCCTCTTTTCCGTTTCCCTTAAGGATTCCAAATTAGGGCTTGCCTCGTGATGCAGATTGATGATTTGCGTAATGTATGTTCTATCCATTCCCATTATCTTTTCCTAATTTCTTCTTCAGCTAGAAGCTGGTTTGTTCTGTTCCACAGTAGATTGTTGCTGATGGTAGCCGGCCAACGGATATTGAGTATCTTAAAAAGACAACTAACCAGACGCTAACCAGAGTTCAACTCACATCTTACTTTATTATCATTAATCTGTTTTCAGTTACTTCATTACACAATTATAGGTTGTAAGCAACTGACTGAGATCAAACAAAATAGAATGAATTCATATTAGTTCACATGGATCTTTGTATCGTTTTGTATCAGTTCAAAGGCTTACATTACACACAATTTAAAAGCATATTGTCCTTCCTTTTATTGAGATGATGTGATTCATAGAATCAAGGAAGTAAGAAATGAAATAAATATCCATCAATATTGTTTATTAAAAGTAATACTGTACTATATGCTACTTATATTGATAGATGTAAGTAGTATGTGATGTCAATCAGAAGTAGAATGTTGATGAAAAGAATATTGAGATAAAGGAATTGAAGGGAACAGAAAGGGACTGGAATCAAAACAGAATTGAAAGGATCATAAGGGATGTAGAGGACAACTGCAAGATGTGCAAAGGATGTATTTAATGTATGAATTCACACTTTGCTAAACTATTGTACGATTATGAATGAAACACCCACCTAAGTCTTCGTTCACTGTAATACTGTTTATCAAATTTACATAGTAAAACAAAACGAATTTCGATTCAGTACCTAGATCATATTGTATCAGTTTGAAGACATTGATTACTTTTACTTCATTACGCCTGTTACTCCCAATCGAGAATAGGCCATCGGTCAGCATACTCTAACCCAATCTGTCCTGGGCCTTCCCTCATAGCTGTATCTTATTGTTGTTCATTATTATCTGGTCTGTCTCCATTTCTCGGCGTAATATGTTCTTTGCTCTCCCTCTCCTCCTTTGGCTTTGAGGGTTCCAAGTGAGGACTTGCCTTGTGATGTAGTTGGGTGCTTGCCTCAATGTGTGTTCTATCGACTTCCATCACTTCTTCCTGATTTCTTCTTCTGATGGGATCTGGTTTGTTCTCTTCCACAGTAGATTTTTTGCTGATAGTGTTTGACCAACGGATCCGAAGTATTTTGCATAGACAACTGTTAATAAACACTTGTATCTCATGGATAATGGCTTTTGTAGTTCTCCAAGTTTCCGCCTTCCATACAGTAGAACTGTCTTGAAATTTGTATTGAAAATTGATTCATTACAGTCTTAGATTATAAGTAGACTTAAACCAAGATGATCAAAACTTCTATTACTTTTATATTTTGAATAATTCCAAGAGTTTAATTGGATACTATCAGTATTCTTAGATCATGCAAAATATTAGCCTTGAGATATCCAACGTCAATAAGTTTACTTTCCAATGGTCATGATCATGAGTCAGTTGAAGCTAGACCACCACGGAAAACCTGGAAGCACTGAACAGCCGTTTCGTCTTATTGTGGGACTCCTCAGCAGTGCGCACCCACGACCTCGCACCCTGAGAGATCCGAACCCAGGACCTACTGATTTCGCGCGCGAGCACTTAACGACTAGGCCACTGAGCCGGCATCCGACGGTGTTAATGTCTAACTTCAACTAATCCACGAAATTGAGCGACATATCCACAATTGTCTTCATTGAGTTACTATATCACAACAGACCTGGTTGAACTCCACTGGTCACTACTTCTCACTAGAACTCCAAGATATACCTCGTGAAGCCGGTCAGTAGTGAGCATATGTTGATTAATATCAGATGGGTTTTGTGGATATTATTAGTAATTTCAATGGTTAAGATCATGAGTCAGTTGAAGCTAGACCATCACGGAAAACCTGGAAGCACTGAACAGCCGTTTCGTCCTATTGTGGGACTCCTCAGCAGTGCGCATCCACGACTTTTGTTAAATGCATGATATCTATTATTCATTGTATATACATACAATTCTTTCATAGACTAACACAATCATCATTCATGAAGTTGCATATTATGATTGTATTACTAACGAATCAAGTATAATATGAGTATACTGTTATGCTTTATGTCTTGTATAATTAGTCATATATGACTGCCTATAACTGCATGATGAATCGTCTCTGTACTTAAAGATTAAACACCTCTATTTAAAAAAAAACAGATAGATCTGTGCCTAAAGACAACTTATTACTTTTTTTCTCTTCATCAATCAAACCGATGATCTTGTCAAACCACATATGAATTCTTCAACGGATTCCTTATCGAACTCTTGAAATGATTTGAATACACTATACTTAAACATGTATCATTAATGTTATACATTATAATTCATGATAACATTATTATGATTAGTTTTACCCATGGAAACATCGTATTTACTTTTCAACATAGTGAAAATCTACGTACAATCAATTTTAATCAATATGATTCTAAAGCTAAATTACGTAGACAAAGTTTACTTGGTCGTTATCGTTTAGATTCAACAACAGGTGCACCATTAAATCCAATGGGTAGAACAGGTTTATTAGGTAAAGGATTATTACCACGTTGGGGTCCAAATCATTCATTTGTATTATGTATTACAAGATGGACAAGAGATACACGTACTGGTGTACAAGTAATAAGAAGTAATCGTGGTGTATTACAATATTTGGCATTAGAACGTAATAAGAGATTATGTATGCCATGGGTAAGTTAAATGTATTCATTTAATATCACTATTCAAGGTATACAGATAAAATGATTTAGTTTTTGGGTGTCTGAAGTGTTTGTAAGCTTGTTAGTAATGTCTCTGACTGTGAAGCTGGGTGACACGGAATCGAATCTGTCAGGGAGTATCAATTCCCTCAAAATTACCGGTAGCATGAAACCTACGCCTACGGTTTCCTTTGGACTACCTTCAACCACCATCTTACGCAATGACGAGTCATCTAGACAAATGGCTACATTACAGGATTCGATTTGTACTAAGAAAAACAATGACATACATGACATTGATTACCATCCAGTGATCAATCAGCTGACGAGTGCCAAATAAAACAACGTGACGCGTGTCCTGGATTACACTGCTAGCTACTTATAAATAGTATTATCATAAACTCTCCTAAATAGAAGTGATCTCATTCTAGAATTATTAGAACATACCATCTAAATACTTTTAATAAATTCATACATCATAGGGATTTGAGTCTATTTCAAAGTTTCAAGAAACATTAACTAAATTGTAAGGGATTACTATAGACTGTATGAATGTTCCAGAAGATATAAGTCGTATACTAACCTTGATATCAATCTCAAAATAGACAGTTGTCAACGATTTACACACCACAGATTAAACGCACAATTATTTTTCATTATTAACACCAATACAACAAATCTTTCAATGCGGAATTAAAACCCAGGACATTCAGTCTCGTATGCGAACGCTTAACTTCCAAACCACTGAGCCGGCCGGCATCCAACTGGTGTTAATGTCTAACTTCAACCGAATCGCGTGACCATCTTCCACTATATTGAGGTAGATACCTGTCTCTACCCGATACGGATTAGCTCCATTGGTCATGGCTTCTCACTAGAACTTCAAGAATCCCCTCACAAAGCTAGTCACTAGTAAGCACATGGAAAATATCAGTATGGGATTGCGGAGATTATTAAGTTTTTAGATTGAGATCATGAATCGATTGATGTTAGATCACCACCAGGTTTACAACGGTGGAAACATAGTTCTGTTTTCATTGGTATCAATTATTATACAGAGAGATGTTATAACAGTATGACTAATCATCATTCGATGTTGTTGATCATTTCTTTTCTTCTTCTTATTATTTCAGTATTTAACAGATCATACAAACAAATGTGATTTTGATGAATGTGTACCAAAGATTATAAGCAGTTTAGTGACTCGTCGAGGACGTGCTATACTTCCAGAGAAAAGAGTTGAAAGATTATTGAAACGTATTGAAAAGGCTGAAGTTACACAGGTAATGAATAGAATATTTTCTTTTCTTTATAATATGGTGTCTTCCAACTACAATACATATGTAAACAATGTATTTCGTGCATTTTACTAACCAAACTCTCTTGGATTGTGAAATCCTCATGATTGTCAGGGTAGTTTTGTTGTAGTGATCTCAGTCTTAATATCATTGAAAACCTAGAAGTACTGAATAGAATGCTCATCTTGATATAGGACAAGTCAACAATGATCATCTACGACCTCGCACATAGGAATCAAGCATGGGACTTTCAGTCTCGCGCGCAAACTAATCTCCAAATCACTAAGCCAGAACACAACGGTGTTATTATCTAACATTAATTTGCTGAGTTGAATCCGTAGTAGAGCTCACCACTTTTAATGATCCTATATCTGACCACAGTTGGATCGTTTCTAATTGCTATTGAGATATATATGTCGCTAATCCTCGTATGTACCTAAATAAATGGTTGCTCTGGTTGTCAGAAGGGGCATCGGCCTCGTGACTTCCGAAGGAACTCGGCTTTCATCATGAGGCGTCATAGTTCTTCTAAATGAAGACCTTCTGACTCCCACGGCAGAGTTTAAAAGTTTCGAATAATTTTTTCTGGTTAGCGTCTTTTTAGTGAGTTAGTTTTCTACAGGATGGGGTCGCTAACCCCATGCCCAACCCTCTTCCTTTATCCGAGCTTGCGACCGGCAGTGGCCTCCGGAGGGACTCCAGGCGGATAGGACACACGTTGAGGAAAGCACCCAACTGTGTCACAAGACAAGCCCTCACATGGAATCCTTAAGGTCAAAGAAAAAGAGGAAGACCAAAGTAGAACACAATACGCCAAGAAATGCAGATAGACACGAGAAAAATGGACATGAATTAGATAGAATTAGAAAAGAAGGCCTAGGACAGAATTGATTGGAGAATGCTGGTCGGCGGCCTATGCTCCATTAGGAGTAACAGGCGTAAGTAAGTAAGTAAGTAAGTAAGTAATCCTCGTATGTAATCATCAACTTAACTGGTGTTAATGAATAACGGAATTAAAATAAGCCAAATACGAGAATGGATTTTTAAATGCGTATATTTTGTACACTCATTGATAGGAACAGACTGTCAGAAAGACATAGCGAAGGAAGCGAAGAAATGAGAGCGAAGCGAAACGAAATAACGCGCAGTGGTGAATGCGCGTAAGCCAACTCAATTTAATCAAGCGTGAATCAGACGAAAATAAGTTACAGACATGTGATGAATAAGATAAGACATGTACACACATACGCTCATATAAAAACAGTCAACGTTGATAAAGGAATAGTTAACAAGGTCAAAACGTAACTCAAGAAGGATAGATAAATGGACCTATCCAGAAGATAGAATAAGTTATATGAGTTAAACATGGTAAATACCGCTACAAATTCGCGATATTGTATGATTGCCATCGATTGCTTACTCGGCATAACTGTCTCACCTTAGACATGGAGGTTTAGCTAAGATTAGTCCATGATTTCAACTACAAAAATTCTACGATCTTAATCAGTCAGTCTGGCAATCAAACATGCTCAGGTCGGTACGTATATGAAGATGAAGTAAATTGAATTATAGTATTATCCAATTCTGATGATTAACAAACACTATATGTGGTGATTAGAATAAGAATAGGATCGTAATAGAAGTTACTATCTTCACATCAAATTTGAAATTTGATCATTCAAAATATACATGAAACTGTTTCTATATGTTCAAATTCAACTGACTAAGATATTGTCAATCGACCGTTACATTTCACATTATGGTTTGCCTGAGAAGATCGTCAATATCATCCGGAATTCATACAACTGCAAAGTCATGCATGGCGGACAACTGACAGGCACATTCCAAGTGAGGACCGGATTCAGCCATGGCTGCTTACGCTCCCCGTTTCTCTTTCTTCTAATGGTTGATTGGATTATGATGACTTTGATATTTGGGGAGAAGCACGAAATACAATAGACAAATCGTAATCAATTAGAAGACCTGGACTTCACAGATGACCTAGCTGTTTTATTCCATACACACAAACAAATCCAGGTAGAGACATCCGGTTCAGAAGCAGCTTCAGTCTACAGCAGTAAGCCTCAACATACACAAAGGAAACAGCAAGGTCCTCCAATACAACACGGAGAACACCAACACAATCACACCTGATAAAAAACTCTGGAAGAAGTGAAAAGTTTCACGAATCTAGGAAGCATCATTGATGTACAAGGAGGATCCAATGCAGACGCAAAGGCGAGGATTGACAAAGTATGGGCCTCAAGTGAAGAATATATGAAACTCAAAACAGCTGCAGACCAAAATCAAAGTAACAATCTTCAATACAAACGTCAAGACATTTAATTCTACTATACGGAACTGAAACGTGGAGAACTACTACAACCACCACCAAGAAGGTACAAGTATTTATAAATAATTGTCTACATAAGATACTCAATGTCTGTTGACCGGCTACCATCAGCAAAAATCTACTGTGGGAGAGGATAAACCAGCTTCAAATTGAGAAGGAAATTAGGAAAGATATTGGAAGTGGATAGGATATACATTACGCAAATCATCAAACTGCATCATGAAACAAGCCCTAATATGGAATCCTGAGTAAAAGTGGAAAAGTGGAAGACCAAAGAACACACTCCTTCGAGAATCGGAAACAGGTATGAAAAGGATGAATAACAACTAGAAAGAACTGTGAGGGATTACCCATGACAGTTTGGGATGTAAAATGCTGATGAGTGGCCTATCAGTCAATCAGTCAGTAACAACGTAGAACTTTGTAAGTACGTACATCAGTTCGAGTTGCCACAACACGTTAGCACAGAGATACAGTGGTCGATTCAAATACCATAGTGGTAGAGGTAATAAGAGTATAAGCAGTAATCGGGAAATTTAGTGTTTGGAGATGTTATTTAAAGAGTATAATACAGTGAAATGAATTTGGGAAGAGAAAAAAAAGAGACAAGGAGGAATAAGGAGATCAAAATTTGGTAGAACACAAAGAGTGTATGCACCTGCGCCATTGCAAACGATTTCAGCCATGTCATTCAGGGTCTTTAACCATCGGCCTATACTCCTATACGAGTGGTAACAGGCGTAAGTAACTAAGTAAGTACTAACTCTTGTTAGAGTGGTAGAAAACCTGTAGTGTATGCTACTTATGCTTACAGATATAAGTAGTATGTAGCACCAGTCGAAAGTGAAATGCCTATCAAAAGAAGATAGAGATGATTGTAATGAATAGAACAAGAAGAAAATTGAAGAGAAATCGAAATAACAACAGGATGATGAATTATGTAAAGGACAACTCAATGAGTTTCCAACCCCCCTCCATGTCTTCCTTCACTACAAACGTTTTTGTAATACACAACTACCGATCATATAAGTTTGGTTAATAAGTTTAATTCCTCCAGAAAATAAATATCTCTTATAATCAATGGAGAGTGTATTAACAAGCTTCATCTTAATAGTCTTATTCTATAAATTCAATAACTATTACGTAATAATAATATGACTAGTGTTGTGGATGGTTGGAAGAAAGTTAGGGATGGCCAAATCAAAACATGGCATCAGTCTTTGAAGTCACAAATTTCTGGTCTTAGCTATGTTGGTAGATGCAGACTACTTGGTTTCGGTCTATCCGACTATCGTAACCGATGGTTGGAGACTCTGGGTAACATAGTTCAGAATTGATCACAATGGTGTAGGTGTATACACTCTTTGTTTTCGTTTAAACCATGAGATTAAAATTACTTTATACTTTTTCTTCTACGAACTAATTCTTTCATCTTGTATTATATCCTTATATGCAAAATCTTTCTTTTATATATTAACACTACTGAATTAACTACTTCTATAAATCCGGTGTTCATCTTGTTGTGCTAATGCGGTATGGCAACTTGGACCGATGGATGTATGTGCCTGATCCGAAACTGAAACCGCTGAAAACACAAATAACATCAGTCGAAACGAAAACATTATACATGAACAGTGATGTTAAGAGTGACAGAGCCACATACGTCTTAAACAGTAGAATTTCTGATTCCTTAAAATGACCGTTCTTAACAGCAACATTGCGAATAGTATTCTTCAGTTGATCATTGTTCATCAATAATCTTAAGGATAAATTACGTCATGTGACCAACTCAATGTGCATTTATCAATGTACCTTCTCATATATAGCCAGGTATATAGGTCGTTCGATGCATAATTTATCCAAAAGCATTCTAGAATATTAACCGGAGTGACTAAGAAGAGGAGGAAACGGTTCAATAAGAAGTCCAATAATCGAACACCTTATGAAAACAGGTCATTCAATCAAGACAAACTCTGCGTTCAAAGTCATCTACAAGGTAAGTAGAAGTCTTCCAAAGACAATTCTACTGCATCTTCTTAGCATTACGAAAGCAATAGTCATATATCTGGGAAAATCAGAACTGTATCTTCAAAAGAGATTGGTACAACCTCTTCTTCTACCATGGTTTTAATATGTTATAATTTTTCTTTTTTCTTCATACTCTTCTTCTTTTATAGCCATCTGCTTCCCCTTTCATCTTCTCCTTAAACATTCTACCCCCCAACTGGTTTATTTCTGTTTCTATGATCCCACCTTGATTACATCTTATCACGCTAAGCCATCCTTTCCCAATGAACTATATTGGAAATACATTTTAAATAGTCTCTTATATGTCTGTTAAGTGTTCAATCAAATTCAAAGTATTTCTCTTTTATGTAACTTTTTTTTAGATTTTCAAAGGTTACTTAGATGATCAGTTAAATGCGGATAGTGCATGGATGGAAACTGTTGTGATTAATTTACATGAATCGGAGAGTAAAGGAGCTCAACTACCAGATGACATATTAAAGGTAAGTTATATTATAATTGAATTTTTCTTTTGAAACAAAAAAATCTATTCAACATAAAGACAACACACTTAAAGAGGGAGAGGGATCATTTCTCGAACCTTTGGCCTACAGTTCTAATCCATAAAGCAATGGAGTAATATTAAGAGTTGTAATCTCATGATAGCCGGTGACAAACAATAGGTTTATGAGCCATTTATTCCCTCAGGATCGCGGAGGCCATGTACACCATCGGTTTTGAATCAGGGTTTCTCAACTCCCTTCAGGTGGTGGATCCTCCATATCCACCAACGCGGTTAAAGTATCGGACATTCGCTTTTCGTCATCTCAATTTAGTAAAATTACGCCTGGTGCGAAGGTAATGATTAGGACTTCCATGATAGTAGCTGTATATAGGTGACCATATCAGAGCGTTTGGAGAGAGATAAAGGACTCTCCTCATCCTGGATATTGCTATTCCTAGTTTATAAATTCAATTAAATTGGCATTAACCTATGTTCATCATTGAATATTTTCGCGTTCGCACGCGATAACGACGGGTTCTGGATTTGAATCCCGGGATCGTGAATGCATACTCTTGAGGAGTCCCATACTAGGACGAAACGGCAGTCCAATGCTTCTGGGTTTTTTGATGGTGGCCTAAAATCAGTCGATTCATGATCTCAATAAAAAAATTCAAAATAATTTGTCCCTTTTATGAGTTTAGACCATTCAATGAGACGATGAAGTATATCAGATCAATGTAATAGTCTGTGCGAGCAGCCCGAAAAAGACAACTTTCATCGTACTTATAACAACATCCAAGATCGTCTTGTTGACGATCAAATTCCTCTCTAATCTCTTAATATCTTCTGTATCCCGATACATACACCTTCTCACGGCTTTATTATCACGAACCATCAATGTTAATGATTTGAGTTCACGAAATGTTATTCCTGGTCCGCTGAAACCACACTCTAAACTACATGTTGATGCTTTTAATGTCAAAACCTTATACCACATAAGACAACAGGCTGTTTTAGCTAGGATCTTTAAATCTCGCGGTATATCAGTGAATGAGGCATCAACCGCATCTTCAATCCGTGTCGAGTAGAGATAGGTATCTACCTCAGTAAAATGAAAGATGGTCGCTCAATTCCGTAGATTGGTTGAGGTAAGACATTAACACCGTTGGATGCCAGCTCAATCGCCTGGAGGTTAAGCGTCCGTGTGCGAGACCAACCGGTCTTGGGTTGGAATCCCACGGAACGGGATCATGGATGCCCACTGCAGAAGAGTCGCATAATAGGACAAAACGGCTGTGTAGTACTTCCGAGTTTTTCAATGGTGATCTTTATTTATTTATTTATTTTATTTTAACACAGATATTGGTAAAAGAGGCACCAAATACATATGCGCCACACAAATCTCATTTGATATGTGTGAGGGCTGTGATACTGCCCGGGTGCCCAGACCGAAACAGGTGGTTTTCTTAGGGGGCTATACCCCGAGCCTTCGACATCTAGGTCTGATCTACAAGGCAGTGGAGCAACGTAGGGAGGTGCATTCCCATGGTAGCCGATGATCAACGATTGGTTCATACGCCATTTGTTCCTTCAGGATACTGGAGCACATGTGCACTATTGGTTTGGAATCAGGATTTTCCAGCTCCCCTAGATGGACTCTCCATGTCCATCAACTCTGTTAATGCACCGCATATTCGCTTTTCATCCTCTCGATTTCGTAAACAACACCCGTGGTGTGAGAAGGCAGTGAGTAGGACTTCCCTATCAGAGGCTATGTACACGTGGCCATGTGAGAGCATTTGTGGAACCAGAGCGGACTCTTCCCACTCTCGGCCGTATTAGGGCATTTGGGGGCTAACATCAATCGATTTATGATCTTAATCAATAAAATTTTTTCTTTGTTCTTTTCCCATAGTTACTCAATGAACCTGGTACAGAAGAACAATGTAAATGGGTTGAAGTATCACATAGTAGTAATCTACGTACAAGTCATAATTATATACTTAAGAATGTTGCAGAACTTCGTAGAGCATTCTATTAATTCAAAATACTTCAAAGATAATGAACTCATTCATCTTACCTATTTATTATATTAAACACAAATGAAAATGTTGACTACATTCTCAAAATTTACAATCAGTATTCAATTCATTTAATGAATAACTCAATCAACTTTATGAACTTTTTAAAAAAAAGTACAAAACGATGGTCTCCATTTGTTTGTTTATTTCGTTTTCCTGGAATTTCCATGATCTAATCAAGTTTACTATTGTCCATTTTATAAAGAGAAATGTATTATTTCTTTGATGTTTTGGCCATTGTGTTGTTTTAAACCGTATCAAAAGGATATACTAATTTCAATAATAATAATAATAATTGAGTGAATGAATGGTACTGGGTTCGAGTCCCGGAGTGATTATCAACTACGGGATGTAGGTAGGTACATCTAACTGACGACGAGTCCTAGATAGGACGAAACATGCATCAAACTAGATGTCACTGCTAGTCACTATCCATCTTTGCTTATGAATTGCTTGTGACTTAGGATAATATCGAGGCAATCTGTAGAGGATGTACATATGCCAATAATAGACTGATCAATTGCAATCTTAAACAACAATTTTGAATGAATTTAGATTTAAATATTGAACTACTTATAAGTAGTGAAATATATCCAACAGAAAAAGTAATTTTCATAGTTGAGATCATGAGTTAAATGAAGCTAGACCACCATAGAATAACTGGAAGCACTGGAAGGTCTTGATCCTAGGCTCAAATCTTGCGAGGCGGAATCATAGAAACGCACTGCTGAGGAGTCGAATACTGCGATGAAACGGCCATCCAGTGCTCCCATGTTTTCCATGATGGTCTAGCTTTACTTGACTCATGATTTCTATCATTGAAATTACTAAAATCTCCACAAAACCCTTTCTCACTTGATATTGTTTATTTGAATCTTCCCATTGATATTTAGGACTACAATTGATCAGTCTCTTATTGACATATGTGCATACTCTACGTATTGCCTCGATATTGCCTTAATTCACAAGTTGTTATAAGCGAAGATGGATAGTGGTTAGCAGTGGAATCCAGGGCATGAGTTTCACCCTATTTGAGGCTGGTCAGTAGCTAAGTGAATAACGCGATGACGTTTGAAGCGACTAGTACTGGAATCGAGTGCCGAAGTGAACATCAACTCTGAGATGTGAGTACACCCAGCTGAAGAGACGAAACACATGTCCTGAATTCCAATGCTAGCCATTATCCATCTTTACTTATGAAAAAAGGGAATTATTTTTAAAAAAAACTTCCAGAAAAAAATACAGAAAAATAAAACTGACAAACAATACTGATAAAACGACAGAATTTACAAAGAATAACACAGAATGTAAATATCTATTCATATTACTAGTAAATAGATACTAATGATTACTATTGATAAGTAATTACTTTAGTGTAAAAACTATGAATTGGTAGCATTTATAGATACTACTACTGTGTGGGGTGGAAACTTGGAGAACTACAATAGTTATCATTCAGAGTATAAAGGTGACTATTAACAGTTGCCTATGCAAAATACTTCGGATCCGTCGGCCAAACACTATCAGCAAAAAATCTACTATGGAAGAGAACAAACCAGATGCCAACAGAGGGAGACATCAGGAAGAAGTGCTAAAAGTGGGTAGAACATACATTGAGGCAAGCACCTAATTACATCACAAGGCAAGCTCACACTTGTAATCCTCAAGGCTAAAGGAGAAGAGTAAGATCAAAGAAGAACATAATACGCCGAGAAATGGAGACAGACATGAGAAGAATGAACAACAATCGGATAGAACTATGAGGGAAGACCCAGGACAGATTGGGTTGGAGAATGCTAGTCAGTGACCTATTATCCATTGGGAATAACAGGTCAAAATAGGTATGTAAGTACTAATAAATACTTTTGATAAAGTTTTGTTCCCTGAGCTGGATGCTTTAGTCGTGGAGCTTTCATTATCACCACAAACTTCAGGCTAGTAAATAAATATTGATGAATGTAATTAGTTAGTAAATAGTACTAGATCAATACTCATATACGATATTTAGAAATGAATCTAAATGAATATATACGACTTGAAGATACTACTGATAACTAACTAGTAGTATATACTACTAATAAAAGAATACATACAAATACTACGAATGAATACCATCAATATGCAGAACTAATAAATAAGTATCATTACATACATACTACTATTAGATATTACTGATATATACTATTAACAAATACTACTAATAACTGTGAAGCTGGGTGACACGAGATCGAATCCGCCAGGTAGCACCATTTCCCTCAAGATTACAGGTACACCTTGCTGACGAGTGCCAAGTAGCACGAAACCCGGGTCCAGAGTTTCCTGTTGACTACCTCCAACCACCATCTAAATCTCAATACATAGTGCCCGCAGTGTCGAGTCACCTAGACTGGTTGCCACATTGCAACATGATCGATAGCATTCGATCCGCACTAATAAGGACTAGACAAGCATGAAATTGATCACCACCCAGTGATCAATCAATTGTAACTACTAATAACTTTTCTAACAAACATGATGACTAAAATCTACTAGTAAATAGTATAGAATGTAACACTTATTATGATTACTTGTTGTGAAGTACTTGTTACCAAATGGTTACTGCTGTGTTTTTAGATCATTCTAGAATATATGTTCTATAACCTTTAACAGATTCTTAATATTGTTTCATAACTATTATAAGTAAATTACAAGTTTGTTAGTTGGTTGAAAATAGTTGATGTTGAACTTTGGATCAATGTTTTTTTATTAATGTTGAGTGAAATGGTGCTTGTTGATCAGTTCAGTCCTAGGTCTATAAGTACCTTACGAATATAGGTACACCTTACTAATGACGATTGAATTGCACAGAACATGATACTAAACTTTCTTGTTATTCACTATAAACTAATCGATTTCTCACTGTATTGTACAAGGTATCCTCATTAGTTAAACTAGTGATCATATTACTACTGAATTTATAGTACTCGAATAACCGAAAAGGATTAGAGATACATGATGTTGATGAGTAAAGGATCATTTGTCTAATACAATTATGATACATAATCTAGAAAATATGCGTTCTCTCTCACACTCTCTATTCCAATTAATATTCATAAGTACAGAATCAGTTCATATTACTACTGGCTGTCAGTATTGTAAAGCTGAATTGAAGTGAAATAACTGTTTACAAACTATGGTATTAAAATCCATTTACTCAAGCGATAAGATGAAGTGTATGAACTTGAATGAATCAACATAAACATTATCATAATGATAGTATTCAAATAAGAATAGAATGGACGATATATGATAAAGTCATGTTACAATGTTAGTCAAGTTGACTTCTGTCTAACATTGATTTGGATCGGAATCAAACAAGGCTATCTATACTTACCCCCCCCTCCCCGCACACTTTTCTCTTTCTTCTTGTGGTCGACTGGATTATGAAAACCTCCATATTTGACATTAAGCATGGAATATAATAGACAAGTTGGATGTAACTAGACGATTTGGATATTACAGACGACGTGACCTTTCTATGTTATACAGATGAAGAAAACTGGTGTATTAGCAGACTCTGCATTAGTAGGCCTTAGCAGACTTAAAGAAAAAAGTAAGATTTCAAAATACAACATGCAAAACACCAACACAATTACACTTGGAGAAACTCTCATAGACGTGGAAACGTTCACATATCTGGGAAGCATCATTGATGAACAAGGATGATCCGATAGAGATGTAAAGGAGAGGATTGGCAAAGCGAGTGTCACATTCCTACAATAGAATAATATTTGGAACTCAAAACATCTGTCAATCAATATCAAAGTCACAATCTTCAATACGAACTTCAAGACGGATAATTCTATTGCACGGAGCTGAAACGTGGAGAACTACTACAACCATCATCAACCATGTACAAGTATTTATAAATAGTTGTCTACTCAAGATACTCGACATACATTGACTAGATACCATCAACCACAATCTACTGTGAGAGAGAACAAACCAGCTTGCAGTTGAGAAGGAAATTAGGAAAGATATTGGAAGTGGATAGGACATACATTACGGAAATCATCAAACTGCATCACGAAGCAAGTGCTAATTTGGAATCCTGAGCGAAAGTGGAAAAGTGGAAGACCAAAGAACGCACTCCTTTGAGAATCGGAAACAGGTATGAAAAGGATGAATAACAACTAGAAAGAACTGTGAGGGATTACCCATGACAGGTGTGGATGTAAAATGCTGATGAGTGGCCTATACTCCTTGATGAGGGGTAACAGTCTTAGGTAAGTAAGTAATTAAATATATGTATACTTTGGTGTCCCCTTGTATCAATGTTTATGTGTTCAAGTAAACAGATCAATAGAAGATTAAAGCATAATATTCTACATTTCAAAGCTGTTATAAACTCATGGTTATCAATATGATATTTCAACTTTTGAATGGTTAATGTATACTGATTCATTTGCCTAAAGAAACAGAACAGTAACTAAATAAGAAGTTATATAGTAAGTACAAATGAACTATTTAGACGATGGAGACTCATTATCCTAATTAAACTAAAGCTTACCAATTATAGTATGATTTAGATGTACCGATAAATTCCTCCAGAAATATAAACAAAAACCTAACCTTCATGTGCTAAAGTTAATTCAACTGCATACCTTGTCATCGGTATACTATCAGAATTGTAATTTACATGTAATTTTATAATTAGATATAATGTTAAACCTTCTATTAGGCATTAACACTGTTGTATACCAGCTCAGTGATCTAGAGATTAAGCGCTCGAATACGATATCAAAGGTTCTGGGTTTAAGTCTCGCATATAAGATCGTGGATGCACACTGTTGAGGAGTCCCATGCAAGGACGAAACGATTATCCAGTACTTGCACATTTCCAATGATTCTCTAGCATATATCAACTCATAAATATAACTATTAAAGTAATTTCATCATTTGATTCGTTTTTATATCAAGCTAACAATATACAACACTATTGCGATAGCAACAGTTCATTTAAACAAAATCCAGCATTATCTAACACTCTATTTATTTATGCTTTTGTAATGAAATATGCACTTTATAGAATGCATATACTTTAATGAAACAATTTGAAACTGTTCTCATTTGTTCATTCTGGTTTCCTGTTTAAAAAAAGAAGACAAACGACTAGAGTAAGTATCCATTTCACTGATTGAAATCATGAGTCAATTGAAGCTAGACCATCATAGAAAACCTGGAAGAACTGGACGGC